TTTCTCTCCTACCTTCCACCACCACCACAACCACCAGCACCACAAGTAGCCCTTGCGGCTACTGCTTCGGCTTTTCTCTGTTTTCATCTGCCCCGACCAACTTGTGAGGCCAACAACCGTGCCGAAGCACGTCTGAGAGGACTATTTGTCTAAACTCGGAAGTTGACACAGAGAAACATGAGCGCACTGCTTGCGGGTTCGCGGGGCCGCAGAGAAAGCTTGAAACATCATACGCCTACATATGCTATGCAAGCCACTTACGCCATGACCTGACACTGTTTCGACTGGGAAGGCTTCGGGTTTCACTTTCGGCGTTTTGGGCTTGCACTTTCGGCGATTTGCATAAACCCAGAACCACCCCCTTATTGAAACCACGTGGGCGCACCAGACACTGAAAGTGCTTGAACTTTGTTCTCAACCTTAATCTAGTCTGGCTTCGTCATGCTACGTGGCATACTTACGGTCTTTTGCTGATCGGGTTTCGAAGGGCTCTTCTGCGGGAGATGTCAACATTTTAATTGAGGCAGACCGAAACCCTCCACCGGATACGTTGTGTACATTGAGGCTGATCTTTGCAATCCTCGGCATCTCAGCAGCTGTTGTCGCCGCCACGTGCATAAGAACCGGCAGGCATGGTACCATTCCCGCGGGCACTGCTCTCTAGAATTCAATGTTCCAGCGGGGTATTTCAGGACCTGAGGAAACCTGCGCCAGGCTCTTGGTACCTGCTTGAAAACCTTTGCTGCTACTCCGAATTCGTGAGCAAGCAGGGATCTCATTTCTCAGACTCAGCACTTTGTCCTGCGGCAGTGTTCATGTGTTCATCTAGAGGGGCATGAAAGGAGTTCAGCACAACCCGGGAGCCACCGGCTGTGTGGACAACCTGAACGATTGGAACAACATCTTGATCAGATTAGATTGCAGTATGTGAATGGTAGAAGTGGAGCTGAAGGGGCGGCAATTCCATGTATTCCGGCTTCTGCCATACGCAATTTCAAGACCATGCCACTCTTCCATCACATCATCATCACCAACAAAATCACCATCATCATAGGCATGACAAAGTTGGGGCTTGACTACAATGACACAAATGTGCAGGAAAGCTGGGCTTCGATCTGGCCAGCTTCGCAACCATAGAGTTTGCAAGGAAAGCAACATTGCGCAACACCGACCTCGAAATCTGGCTCCTCACAAGGCAGCAATGTCGTGACTGAGGTTTGAAGAAGAGCTGCGTCACCTTGGCAGCTTCGCATGCTAGGGTTTCCTGGCGTGCTGTCTGCAGAGCGGAGTGTCAACTGCCACTGCAAAGCGCATGATAACAACTGGCATCAAGTTGGAGAAGCCCTTGCTAAGTCCAACCCACAAAGCTGCCAGTTTTGTCCTTAAGAGAACTGCTCCAATAGCTAAAGCAGACCCGTGATCTGCGGCCACGAACGTCGCATGCCAAATCCCTGACCACAAGCCCTCTAAGGAGCCCTAAAAGGAACCCTTTAAGGAACCCTGAACTAGTTCATGGTTAGGATAAGATTAGAAATGTACATTTTTATTCCTTATTGGGTTTAAGTACCCCATAAACATGTAAAATGTTACCCAACTATGACAAAGAGAACCCTAAACCCTAAACCCCAAACCCTAAACCCCAAACCCTAAACCCTAAACCCTGAACCCTAAACCCCAATCCCTAAACCCCAAACTCTGAAGCCTAAACCCCAAGCTTCCCTTCCTCGGCTCCGTGCTGCTCTACATCTTCGACAGCCGCCTTCGCACAGCGGTGCTTCGGGTTTCCCAGAGAACTCCCAAATCCCTTAATGTAGGAATATACCTAGGGTTCCCTTTAAGGGATCTATAGGGGATCTATAGGGTTTAGGGGAGTCCAAAGTCCCTTGATGTAGGAATATACCTAGGGTTCCCTTTAAGGGATCTATAGGGGATCTATAGGGTTTAGGGGAGTCCAAAGTCCCTTGATGTAGGAATATAGGGTTCCCTTTAAGGGATCTATAGGGGATCTATAGGGTTTAGGGGAGTCCAAAGTCCCTTGATGTAGGAATATACCTAGGGTTCCCTTTAAGGGATCTATAGGGGATCTATAGGGTTTAGGGGAGTCCAAAGTCCCTTGATGTAGGAATATACCTAGGGTTCCCTTTAAGGGATCTATAGGGGATCTATAGGGTTTAGGGGAGTCCAAAGTCCCTTGATGTAGGAATATAGGGTTCCCTTTAAGGGATCTATAGGGGATCTATAGGGTTTAGGGGAGTCCAAAGTCCCTTGATGTAGGAATATACCTAGGGTTCCCTTTAAGGGATCTATAGGGGATCTATAGGGTTTAGGGGAGTCCAAAGTCCCTTGATGTAGGAATATAGGGTTCCCTTTAAGGGATCTATAGGGGATCTATAGGGTTTAGGGGAGTCCAAAGTCCCTTGATGTAGGAATATACCTAGGGTTCCCTTTAAGGGATCTATAGGGGATCTATAGGGTTTAGGGTCCAGGGTTTACTATAAGGGTTCCTGAAAAGGGTATTATAAGGGCTACTATAAGGGATCTATAGGGTTTAGGGGAGTCCAAAGTCCCTTAATTAACCCCAAACCCTACAAACTAGGTATGTTCTGACCCCTTGATTAGAGGGTGGAACCCTTAAAACGGTAGGGTTTCGGATCCCGGAATATACCTTAAATCATATTAGGGATCCTACTATAATTTAAGGTCTATTCCTAAATTAAGGGATCTTGGAAGGTCTGGGTTCGTGAACACTTGGAGGTTCATGGGTGTGCTGCTAGGGTTTCGGGTTTAGGGTTCAGGGCTTAGGGTTTAGGGTCTAGGGAGGTATAAGTGGGGTTACCAAACCCCGAATATGGGTCATAATTATGGACTCACCCTACTTACAGATATCCATGAACCTCGTGAGCAGGCTTGGGCCCATGGGAGACGAACGTCGCTTTGCATTCCGATGAAGTTCCGAAACTTGCTTTCTTGATTAAGGCCCGAAGAAAGCACATAAGCAAAAAGAAGGATGGTGATATCCCGCAAAAAACACGCTTTTAATCAAGCCAAATAAGGTAGGGATAGGTCCCCAATTGGGGTTGATTCAATTTGTCGTGCCTTTGGGTGCAAGGTCGACTCAATAGATTTGAATAAGGAGAGGGTTTAGGGTTTACGGTTTCAGGGTTTAGGGTTTGTCGATTCAAGAGGTTTACAAACGGAGAGGTTTTAGGGTTCAGGGCTTGTCAGTTCAATCGGTTTGGGTAAGGAGAGGGAGGGAGAAGGCCAAGTACCGGAGGAGTCGCTTCCGTTCGACTGGGGCCTTCCGGCTGTCAAGGAGTATTCCCTTTCTTGCGTCGGACTTCTGTAATCTGCTAACCTGCGTGAGGATGGCTAGAACCGCCACAAAGTCAAAAAAAGAGGAACCATTGTGCATAAAGACCTGGCTGTGGACGTTCAGCTGCCGACCAGTTTGGCGGCTAGTTTACCACTGTTTACATACCCCTGTTGGCATTTCGTGAAAAGCAGAACAGAAGACTAGAGCGCTCACCAAGCTGACGCAGAGATGCTTAACATTTGAGCACCCCGAACTTAAAAAAGATAAAACCAAAGCTCTCGAGCACACAATGGTCCATGTCCTGTCAGGCTCGGTGACTCATTCCTATGCAGTTCCTGACCAAGATGCACACATGCACAAACTCCTGCTTGCAGCGATCTCTCTAACCCTTCGCCCCAGATGCCGAATCATTCCATACCAACAGCCCAATTGGTAAAGCCCAACTTTTCTCACTGTTCTGATCCTTGCAGCAATACTATGATACTGGAAAAGTTGTTATCCGGGTGATGGTTCTATCGTGCCCTACCCCTAAACCCTGAAACCTCAACCCACAAACCCATCAAAGGCCTCCACCATCTGCATCAAGGTAAGGCTCCGAAGTGGCTTCGGGCGCAGGGACATCTGCCAGATGCAGCAATCCCAGACCCCGTTGGCCCCTAGGGATTACAATATGTATGTGTGTATAAATATATATGTATGTATAAAGATTTCTCTCTCTCTCTATATATATGTATGTATAAACATGTGTGTGTATATACACATATATTCAAAAATGTACATACATACAAATACACATGGACACACACACATAGGTGTGTATATATATATATATATATATACATACATATGTATATATGTACATATGTATATACATGTGTGTATATATATATATATATATATATATTGATGTGTGTGTGTGTGCGTGTGTCATGTAATATATGTAATGCTGATTCTATGTATATTTTTCGTCCCCCTGCCCTTCATAATGTTACTGTACAGACATCTAAGTAATATAGGGGCCTAAATAATTACCTATACTATTCCAGGGGTTCCTGATTGTAATTGTAATATAAGGGGCCCCAAAACCCTATTCTAATTATTAAGGCCCCTATCTCCCTAAATCCCTTACAGCACCCTTGTAGTAATAGTAGCCATTATAGGAACCCTTTAAAGGAACCCTATTCTAATTATTAAGGCCCCTATAGTAGCCACGGTCGCAAGAAAAATCGACATTTTTCAGGTGGAGGCCTCGGACACGTCCACGCGGACCAGATACGTGTTAGGGTGGTTGTCAAAATTAGGGTCTTTTTTGGGTCCCTATTATAATACGGCACCTAATATTTAGGGTACTCAATTAGGGACCATAATTTTGACAACTACCCATGTCGCTCAAATCGGGGAGCGCGTGAGACGAGCAGCGCATTCACGGGGTTTAGAGTTTAGGGACCAAGATCAACCAAGACGGACAAGGCAGCCCTGAAAGGAGGTCGTCAAGCTACTACGTTCGCGCAGGAGGATCGCCAGCCAAACAAGACCCGTCCCGGCTACGGGCTGCTTTTGAAGGGTGGTGCGAGCTAGTTACACACGTCTAACTCTTCTGAATGCTACCACTCTTGCAAATGCACCGAGACTCTGTAACCTGAACCCTTCTGGGCTCAACGAAGTCCCAGTTGCCCTCTATATGCGCCTCCTGAATGAGCTTGGAGGCAAAGTGCTTGGGCAGCACATGTGCTCCGTCCTTCTGCGGGCTTAAGCTGCCTATACTCCTATACTTGTAAGAACCCCACCCCGGGCTCTTGAGAACGGGGAGCGTGGGGGGGGGAGGGGGAGGGGATTGAAGGAAGGTGATCCGCTTTTCGATTGCTCAGATGCCCTTAGCCTTTAGCTTTTCGCTCGTATTAGCAAAGCCCTCATCCGCTCCCTCTAAGCCTTGGGCTCCACTGCGTGTAGTCATCTAGTCATCCCTACTTTCTTGGTCTACAACGTTCCTAACACGTGCTTATGTTGGAGAGATATCGCTAGGAAAATTCTTGGAACCTACAGGTCAGGGTCAACGGCTTCGGGCCAGAACCTCGTATTTTTGAGCCCTAGAGGGAGTCCCCGGCGTGCGCGCAGGGGACGGCGCCGCCCACTTTGCTGCCCACGACAATTCCGTGGGCGCAGCCCGGCGGCGATGGGCAGAACTCCGAGCCGAGCGCCTGTGCAGAGAAGTGATGTGAGGGCCTTAATAAGTAGAATAGGGTTCCCGTTAAAGGGTTCCTATAAGGGCTACTATAGAGGTACTGTAAGGGATTTAGGGAGATAGGCCTTAATAATTAGAGTTGGGTTTGGGGGTATTGCTATTATTATTATACTATAACTGCAATAAGGAACCCCCAAAATACTATAGGTAACTATTAAGGCCCCTATTGCTCAAATGGTCTTCGTACGGTTCATGCTTTTGGGAGGTGCGGTTTTGTGCTTAGAGACCGTGTAAGACTTCGACTTCCGTGAGGTTCCAGGGGGTTCGGTAGGATGCCTGGGGGGTCGGGGGACTTAGTAAGTAGTTAGTAAGTAGACTTATAAATACCCTAAAAGGGACCCTAATTGGGGTTATGGTACTTATAAGTCCCTAAATAACCAGTTACTAAGTCCCCCGACCCTCCAAGTGCTCACTTCTGGACGCAGAAACCAAGACTTCCACTCTCGTCAAGATCCGGAGGTTCAAAGGCAAAAATCTCTGAGCATCCAAAGCCGATACCCCTCAGCCACAACCTGTAATATAGTGTAATAGACTACTTTATAATCTAATATGACATAACCCTGGATCTCCGAGCCATCTAGTATATTTACAGCCAATAAAATTCCTGAGCCCTCAGCAGCCCGAATCTGAGAAGCGCCTGCAGCGCTGACGCGGCCAGCCTGGCGACTTCGCACTAGGCCGACACTTCTGCGGGGGGTTTTGTAAAATTTAACCTAATCAAACCCCAAACTCCATATAAACACTAAATCCTGAACCCTAAACTCCTAAACCCCTACACCCCAAATCCTGAACCCCGAAACCCTGAACCCTAAACCCTGAATCCTAAACCTTAAACCCCAAACCCCTACACTCCAAATCCTGAACCCCGAAACCTTAATCGGCCTCTGCCCCAGGGGCTGGCTGGGGTCCGCCGCAGCCAGGAGGGCGATCTTCAGCGCCTTTGCAAGTTCAACCTTTTTGTTATAGTTTCTAGTCCCGTATAGTAGGGTGTAGCATACTACAGTATTCTACAATATCCGCCGACCCCTGCTGGGGCGGTGCCCAGAAGCTCTTGGATTCTTGCAGCATCTTGCTTATTTTTTTGGGGGGGGGGGAATCGAGGCTGTCTTCTTGAGCAGCAGCGCACAAGCTTGCTCCTGTAAGCTTGGATCCACTACTGCGCAGAAACTTCCCGGCACTACTCGGCACTACTCGGCACTCTTGGCACCACAGGCTACTCGGCTTTACTTGGCACTACTCGGCACTCTTGGCACCACAGGCTACTCGGCTGTTTTCTTTCTTTTGTGGTGGAAATTTAGTGGTAGTAGCGGCGCTACTCGGCCCCCTCAGGCTGTATTTGGTTCAAATTTAGTGGTAGTAGAATAAATTAAATAAAGTAATTTAAAGGCACCCCAATGGCTGCCCCACCCCTTCCCGGCACTACCCGGCACCACCCGGCACCATCCGCCCCACTCGGCACTACTCGGCCCCCTCAGGCTGTATTTTGGTGGAAATTTAGTGGTAGTAGAGTAATTTAAATAGAGTAATTTAAAGGCACCCCAATGGCTGCCCCACCCCTTCCCGGCACTACCCGGCACCACCCGGCACCATCCGCCCCACTCGGCCCTACTCGGCCCCCCCAGGCTGTATTTTGGTGGAAATTTAGTGGTAGTAGAGTAAATTTAAATAGATAATTTAAACGGCACCCCAATGGCTGCCCCACCCTTCCTGGCACTAATACTCCTCCCCCTCAGGCTTATTTTGGTGGAAATTGAGTGTAGTAGAGTAATTAAAATAAAGTAATCCACTACCCGGCACCATCCGCCCGCTCGCCTACTCGGCCCCCTCGACTGTATTTGTGGAAATTTAGTGGTAGTAGAGTAATTTAAATGGAGTAATTTAAAGGCACCCCAATGGCTGCCCAACCCCTTCCCGGCATTACCCGGCCCATCCGCCCCACTCGGCCTACTCGGCCCCTCGGCTGTTTTTGTGGAAATTTAGTGTAATAGAGTAGTTCAATAAAATAATTTAAAGTCACCCCAATACTGCCCCACCCCTTCCGCGCACTACCGGCACCACCCGGCACCATCCGCCCCACTCGGCACTACTCGGCCCCCTCAGGCTGTATTTTGGTGGAAATTTTAGTGGTAGTAGAGTAATTTAAATAAAGTAATTTAAAGGCACCCCAATGGCTGCCCCACCCCTTCCCGGCACTACCCGGCGCCACCCGGCACCATCCGCCCCACTCGGCACTACTCGGCCCCCTCAGGCTGTATTTTGGTGGAAATTTAGTGGTAGTAGAATAAAAAAAAATAAAGTAATTTAAAGGCACCCCAATGGCTGCCCCACCCCTTCCCGGCACTACCCGGCACCACCCGGCACCATCCGCCCCACTCGGCACTACTCGGCCCCTCAGGCTGTATTTTGGTGGAAATTTAGTGGTGGTAGAGTAATTTCTCTATTTAAAGGCACCCCAATGGCTGCCCCACCCCTTCCCGGCACTACCCGGCACCACCCGGCCCACTCGGCACTACTCGGCCCCCTCAGGCTGTATTTTGGTGGAAATTTAGTGGTAGTAGAGTAATTTAAATAGAGTAATTCAAAAGCACCCCAATGGCTGCCCCACCCCTTCCCGGCACTACCCGGCACCACCCGGCACCATCCCCACTCGGCACTACTCGGCCCCCTCAGGCTGTATTTTGGTGGAAATTTAGTGGTAGTAGAGCTATTTAAATAGAGTAATTTAAAGGCACCCCAATGGCTGCCCCACCCCTTCCCGGCACTACCCGGCACCACCCGGCACCATCCGCCCCACTCGGCACTACTCGGCCCGCTCAGGCTGTATTTTGGTGGAAATTTAGTGGTAGTGGAGTAATTTGAATAGAGTAATTTAAAGGCACCCCAATGGCTGCCCCACCCCTTCCCGGCACTACCCGGCACCACCCGGCACCATCCGCCCCACTCGGCACTAGGCCCCCTCAGGCTGTATTTTGGTGGAAATTTAGTGGTAGTAGAGTAATTGAAATAGAGTAATTCAAAAGCACCCCAATGGCTGCCCCACCCCTTCCCGGCACTACCCGGCACCACCCGGCACCATCCGCCCCACTCGGCACTACTCAGGCTGTATTTTGGTGGAAATTTAGTGGTAATAGAGTAATTTAAATAAAGTAATTTAAAGGCACCCCAATGGCTGCCCCACCCCTTCCCGGCACTACCCGGCACCATTCGCCCCGCTGTATTTTGGTGGAAATTTAGTGGTAGTAGAGTAATTTGAAGGCCCCACCCCTTCCCGGCCAATACCGCACCCACCGGCGGCACCCATTCCACCCATATTCGGATGCTCGGCCCGCCTGGCTGTATTTGGGGAAATTGTGGTAGGGGAGTTAATTTGAATAGAGGGAATTAAGGCACCAATGGCTTTGCCCCACCCATTCCCGGCACTACCGGCACCCACCCGGCACCATCCGCCAACTCGACTGAGGCCCACTCAGGCGGTATTTTTTTGGTGGAAATTGTAGTGGTCGTAGAGTTATTGAAAAGAGGAATTCAAAAGAAAACAAAATTTGGGTGCCCCAACCTTCCCGGAATACCCGGCACCACCCGGCACCATCCGCCCCACTCGGCACTGCTCGGCCCGCTCAGGCTGTATTTTGGTGGAAATTTAGTGGTAGTGGAGTAATTTGAATAGAGTAATTTAAAGGCACCCCAATGGCTGCCCCACCCCTTCCCGGCACTACCCGGCACCACCCGGCACCATCCGCCCCACTCGGCACTACTCCGCCCCCTCAGGCTGTAGTTTGGTGGAAATTTAGTGGTAGTAGAGTAATTTAAATAGAGCAATTTAAAGGCACCCCAATGGCTGCCCCACCCCTTCCCGGCACTACCCGGCACCACCCGGCACCATCCGCCCCACTCGGCACTACTCGGCCCCCTCAGGCTGTATTTTAGTGTGCCGGGCACTACCCGGCACCATCCGCCCCACTCCGAAGTTGGGTGAGCACAGGAGACCCAAATCCTGATGAAAAAAACCCTGAACCCTGCAAGCGCCAAACGAGGCCCCACGCGAGGCCGCCGCCGTCGACGACAGCAACACTATCGCCGACTAAGGCGCACCCCTCTGGAACCTACCGCCGACTAAGGCGCAACCCTATCGCCGACTAAGGCGCACCCCTATCGACCTACCGCCAACTAACTAAGGCGCAACCCTATCGCCGACTAAGGCGCAACCCTATCGAATCTACCGCCGACTAAGGCGCAACCCTATCGGCGATTAATCACTAGTCCAACCCTAAACACTCAACACCCCTCAACCCTACGACCCTGAAGCCTAAGGCCTAAACCTTAGGACCTAAACCCCGAAACTCCAAAAGAAGGGCCCTTAGAAACTTGCCTTAAATCATGTACCGTACAGCAGGGAGGGGAATGAAGTTTGAATCTAGGGATTCCACAGTCGAACAGCCGAGCAGCTGCTCGCCGGGAAGGGGTGGGGCAAACGTTGGAGTGCCTTTAAATTACTCTACTACAACTACAATACCACAAAAATACAAGGAGTCCCGCAACCATGAACAGCCTGTGGTGCCGAGAATACCGAGCAAGGCCACACAGTGGTGCCGGGAGGGATGGGCAGGCATTGAAGCACCTTTAAATTACTCTACTACCACTGAAATACCACTGAAAGAGAAAAAAAACGCCTGTACTACACCTTTTGGGGTCGGCGGCAGTGGCGGCAGCCATTAAATCGGGCAGCGCTTCGCTGCCCTGTATGGACTGAGCTATGGCTCAGACGAATGAGCTTCGTCTGCGAAGCAGAAGCCACGACCGACAGTGCCGCCGACCCGCCCCGGGCCCCGCATCATCGGACCCTCGTTTCTCCCTCGGGCCGCGCGGGGCCTGGCCCGAAGGCGTCTCGGAACGCGCACGCGTTTTGCAGCCATTCCCCGCGGTGTGGCGGGTTTCGGGGCCGCCGTGGACGACGCCAGGAGGCGAGAGCCCTCGGGCGCCCGCAACCGGCGCCGGCGGCGCGACGTGGGCGCGAAGTCATAACTCCCAAGTTTTTGAGTGGGTTGCGGAAGCCGCCAAAGGGCGCGCATCATGAGCATCAGCGGGGTCCGGCGGACGGGGGGGGCGGGCTACATGCAGGGCCGACGGGGGCTGAGAGCCTACGATCACCCACAAGTTGCGCACTTCGGGCCTACGTTGCACTTATCTATATACCGCGGGTTTCTGACAACAGCTCGCGCTGCCCGCACCTGGGCGCAGCCCCTAAATAATATAGTGTATTATAGTCTAGTATAGTGTATTATTGTATATTCTGGTATATTACAGCACAATATTAATGCAATAGAATATCTTCTATTATGATATAATGACGTAATTCTTCATAATCTAATGTTCAACTCCTACACCCACTCGACCAAATTGGAGGTTCACGGGTCATTGGTCATAAAGATTTCGGTTTAGGGTCTAATTGGAAGTTCATGGGTTGTTATAACGGGTAGTTTCATGGGTACAGTTGTACGTGCGGTCTTACGTCATACCCCGAAGTAAAATCCTAAAGGTTTAGGGTACTTGTATCTACCACTCCTCCTGTTGCGGCCACTAGCATCGGCAAAACGATAGCTGTCGCTATGTTCCTGATGCGGGCATATCCGAACCCGTCTTTCCTGACCTGACTCAAACAGTTCCCATGTGGGAGTTTCCGAAAATTAGGGGTACCTTAGTTTGGGGGTCCTTATAAGAAGGATCCTAATATTTAGGGCTTAGGGTATTAATCCCTTCCCCCTAATATTAAAGGGTCGGGGCCCCCCCCCCCTTCGCCCTAAATAAAAACTCGAAAATGTTTTTATAATTAGGGGGGTTTTGTTATCTCAATTCCTAGAAACACAGGTTCTACAAGTAATTAAATGATGAAAATGATGACGATGAAAATGATGATGACGATTACGGTGATGCTTGTTATGATGAAGATGGCGGTAGTGGTGGTGATGGTAATAATGACGATGATCATGGTCCAGGAGAAGAACATGATGATGATGAAGAACATGATGATGATGTTGTTGTTGATGATAGCAATGCTTCATGGTTGCACAAGTGCAGAAGAGCACATGTGGCAACCTGCAGGTTCAACCTCTGCAACCTGCTGCTTCAACCTCTGCAACCTGCTGCTTCAACCTCTGCAACCTGCTGCCTCTGCAACCTGCTGGCTCAACCTCTGCAACCTGCTGCTTCAACCTCTGCAACCTGCTGCTTCAACCTCTGCAACCTGCTGGTTCAACCTGTGCAACCTGCTGGTTCAACCTGTGCAACCTGCTGGTTCAACCTCTGCAACCTGCTGCTTCAACCTCTGCAACCTGCTGCTTCAACCTCTGCAACCTGCTGGTTCAACCTGTGCAACCTGCTGGTTCAACCTGTGCAACCTGCTGCTTCAACCTCTGCAACCTGCTGCTTCAACCTCTGCAACCTGCTGGTTCAACCTCTGCAACCTGCTGGTTCAACCTCTGCAACCTGCCCCACGAACGCCGGATGTGCACCCAGTCCCCTCTAGAGAGTCCCCAGAGAGCCCAAAGCTTCAGGCCACCCCAAAATCTCGATTCCGGGTGGGGAAAGGGCCCAACCGACGCCCCTGGGGATTGGGCCCACGACCTTTGCCAAGAAGGCTTTAGAACCGGACACTTACCCATTAGGCCATGGCCAGATAGTTTTTGGCAAGGTTGCGCACCTTGCTAGTAGTTTTGGGAGAGGTCGCAGGCCCAATTCTTGCGGTGTCATTTTGGGCCCTTTCCCCATCCAGAATCGAAATGTTGAAATGACCAAAAGCGCCAAGAGAGCACAACCACACCCGCCCAAAACCGCGCAAACCCACCAAACCTCTGCAACCCGCTGGTTCAACCTCTGCAACCTGCTGCTTCAACCTCTGCAACCTGCTGGTTCAACCTCTGCAACCTGCTGGTTCAACCTGTGCAACCTGCTGGTTCAACCTGTGCAACCTGCTGGTTCAACCTCTGCAACCTGCTGCTTCAACCTCTGCAACCTGCTGCTTCAACCTCTGCAACCTGCTGGTTCAACCTGTGCAACCTGCTGGTTCAACCTGTGCAACCTGCTGCTTCAACCTCTGCAACCTGCTGCTTCAACCTCTGCAACCTGCAGGTTCAACCTGCTGGTTCAACCTCTGCAAATTGCTGGTTCAACCTCTGCAACCTGCTGGTTAAACCTCTGCAACTTGCTGTGGATCAACCTCTGCAACCTGCTGGTTCAACCTGTGCAACCTGCTGGTTCAACCTGTGCAACCTGCTGCTTCAACCTCTGCAACCTGCAGCTTCAACCTCTGCAACCTGCAGGTTCAACCTCTGCAACCTGCTGCTTCAACCTCTGCAACCTGCAGGTTCAACCTGTGCAACCTGCTGGTTCAACCTGTGCAACCTGCTGGTTCAACCTCTGCAGCCTGCTGCTTCATGCTGCTTCAACCTGTGCAACTTCAACCTCTGCAACCTGCTGCTTCAACCTCTGCAACCTGCAGCTTCAACCTCTGCAACCTGCAGGTTCAACCTCTGCAACCTGCTGGTTCAACCTCTGCAACCTGCTGCTTCGACCTCTGCAACCTGCAGGTTCAACCTGCTGGTTCAACCTCTGCAAATTGCTGGTTCAACCTCTGCAACCTGCTGGTTAAACCTCTGCAACTTGCTGTGGTTCAACCTCTGCAACCTGCTGGTTCAACCCTGCAACCTGCAGGTTCAACCTCTGCAACCTGCTGCTTCAACCTCTGCAACCTGCAGGTTCAACCTCTGCAATCTGCAGGTTCAACCTGTGCAACCTGCTGCTTCAACCTCTGCCTCTGCAACCTGCTGGTTCAACCTCTGCAACCTGCTGGTTCAACCTGTGCAACCTGCTGTGGTTCAACCTCTGCAACCTGCTGCTTCAACCTCTGCAACCTGCTGCTTCAACCTCTGCAACCTGCTGGTTCAACCTGTGCAACCTGCTGGTTCAACCTGTGCAACCTGCTGCTTCAACCTCTGCAACCTGCTGCTTCAACCTCTGCAACCTGCTGGTTCAACCTCTGCAACCTGCTGGTTCAACCTCTGCAACCTGCCCCACGAAAGCCGGATGTGCACCCAGTCCGCTCTAGAGAGTCCCCGGACAGCCCAAAGCTTCAGGCCACCCCAAAATCTCGATTCCGGGTGGGGAAAGGGCCTAAATGACGCCCCCGGGGATTGAGCCCACGAATTTTGCCAAGAAGGCTTTAGAGCCGGACACTTACCCATTAGGCCATTGCCAGATAGTTTTGCGAAAGGTTGCGCACCTTGCTAGTAGTTTTGGGAGAGGTCGCAGGCCCAATTCTTGCGGTGTCATTTTGGGCCCTTTCCCCATCCAGAATCGAAATGTTGAAATGACCAAAAGCGCCAAGAGAGCACAACCACACCCGCCCAAAACCGCGCAAGCCCACCAAACCTCTGGAACATGCAGGTTCAACCTCTGCAACCTGCAGGTTCAACCTCTGCAACCTGCTGGTTCAACCTCTGCAACCTGCTGGTTCAACCTGTGCAACCTGCTGGTTCAACCTGTGCAACCTGCTGCTTCAACCTCTGCAACCTGCAGCTTCAACCTCTGCAACCTGCAGGTTCAACCTCTGCAACCTGCTGCTTCAACCTCTGCAACCTGCAGGTTCAACCTCTGCAACCTGCAGGTTCAACCTGTGCAACCTGCTGCTTCAACCTCTGCCTCTGCAACCTGCTGGTTCAACCTCTGCAACCTGCTGGTTCAACCTGTGCAACCTGCTGTGGTTCAACCTCTGCAACCTGCTGCTTCAACCTCTGCAACCTGCTGCTTCAACCTCTGCAACCTGCTGGTTCAACCTCTGCAACCTGCTGGCTCAACCTCTGCAACCTGCTGCTTCAACCTCTGCAACCTGCTGCTTCAACCTCTGCAACCTGCTGGTTCAACCTGTGCAACCTGCTGGTTCAACCTGTGCAACCTACTGCTTCAACCTCTGCAACCTGCTGCTTCAACCTCTGCAACCTGCTGGTTCAACCTCTGCCTCTGCAACCTGCTGGTTCAACCTCTGCAACCTGCTGGTTCAACCTCTGCAACCTGCTGTGGTTCAACCTCTGCAACCTGCTGCTTCAACCTCTGCAACCTGCTGCTTCAATCTCTGCAACCTGCTGGTTCAACCTCTGCAACCTGCTGGTTCAACCTCTCTGCAACCTGCTGGTTCAACCTCTGCAACCTGTTGCTTCAACCTCTGCAACCTGCAGCTTCGACCTCTGCAACCTGCTGGTTCAACCTCTGCAACCTGCTGGTTCAACCTCTGCAACCTGCTGGTTCAACCTCTGCAACCTGCTGTTGATGTTGGGAACTTGCACCGGGGAGGGTTTTGGTGGGTTTGCGCGGTTTTCGGCGGGTTTGGTTGTGCTCTTGGCGGTTTTTGGTCATTTCAAATTTCGATTCTGGATGGGGAAAGGGCCCACGGGGACACCGCCAGAATTGGGCCTGCGACCGTGCCCAAATCCCCTAGGGAGGCAGCCGCCATCCCCCAGAACGATCCGGCCATGGCCTAATGGGTAAACGTCTGCCTCCAAAGCCCTCCTCGCAAAGGCTGCGGGCTCAATCCCCGGGGGTGTCATTTGGGCCCTTTCCCCACCCGGAATCGAGATTTTGGGGTGACCTGAAGCTCTGGGCTCTCTGGAGACTTAAGAAACGCTATTATAAGGGTTGCAAATCACACCAAATCCGTGCAAATGCACATTAAACCGTGCAAAGACATACGAAGTTCGTGCACATGCACACCAAGTTCGTGCTAATACACACGAAATGCGTGCAAATACACACCAAATCCATGCAAATACACACTAAATCCGTGCAAATACACGCCGAATCCATGCAAACACACACTAAATCCGTGTAAAGACACACACTAAATCCCTCTAACTACACACCAGGTACACAGTAAATGCGTGCAAATACACACGGAATCTGTGCAAATACACACACTACATCCCTGTAATTAGACACCAAATACTGCGTGCAAATACTCACGATCCGTGCAAATCCATGCAAATACACACTAAATTCGTGCAACTACACAGGACGTGAGTGCAAATACACACCAAATCCGTGCAAATACACACGGAATCCGTGCAAATACATCTAAATCCGTGAATCCGTGCAAATACATACTAAATCCGTGCAAATACACACTGAATCCGTGCAAATACACACTAAATCCGTGCAAACACACAAATCCGTGCAAATACACACTAAATCCGTAAATACGCATTAAAAAAATAGGCTTCAATAAAGGCTTGGCTAATAAAGCTTTTCATGCGGCTCAATTGAGCAGTTGCTGACTCATGCAATTATAATTCTTCCCCCTAAACCCTCAATCTATAGACCCTAAACCTTCCCCCTAATTCAAATTAGGGTTTAAAGGGCGGTGCTACTTCCGGGTGGATCGGGGGAAAAGTGTTTTTATAATTAGGGGGTCCTTTAATAAAAGGGGGAGGGGATTACGGTATTATATTAGGGTCCCCCATTTTCGGAAACTCCTACGTGATCCGTTACCCAATGCGCAGGTTGCAACGCCAAGTTACCTCCCAGGTATCTGGCAGGGCCACATGCTCTAAGCGCTTCTTCTTCAGCTGCTGCTGTTGGTAGAGCGCCAAGGCCTGTCTGCGAATCTAGGACTTGGCCGTTCACTCTTCGACGCTTTTTGCTCCCAAGCCTTTACCACTCTCCGGCCCGCAAACCAGCAGCAAACTCTCTCTAGGGCCTCTTGCATTCATCGCGGTGCAATCTCTTCGGCCCTATAGTAATCAGATGGGCACCAAAGAAGCTGACAAGACGTACATAATTCCCCACATGAGTTCCCGGATGTGACCCGGAGAGCCTGGAAAGTGACCACCTCCTGCATCAACGCCCACGCCGTGCGATCCAGAGCAGTGGCGGCAAGAGCCTCCCCAGGAGCTGAAGGGGATCTGGGGAAGGTAATATAGGGGCCTTAATAATCAAAATGTGGTTTGGGGGTCATGATATGATAACTACTAGGCAACTATAAAATGTGGTTTTGGGGGTCATGATATTATAACTATCAGGCAACCATTAAGGCCCCCTATAGTAGGGCGCAAGGTGCATCGCGAGACTTGCGCAAATCTACCGGATCAGGGTTCCGGATGTCGCTGCTTTGTCTTCCAGGACAAGTGTGCGGCCGTGGCAGGTCGAAGTAGCAAAGTAGCAATGCTTCTGACAGAGTAGTGGTAGTAGTAGTGGTAGTAGTAGTAGTAGTAGTAGTAGTAGTGAGCAGCTTGCTGCAGACGGCCTATGCAACTTCTCTCCCTCTCTCCCTCTCTCTCTCTCTCTCTCTCTCTTTCTGTCTCTTTCTCTCTCTCTCTCTCTCTCTCTCTCTCTCTCTCTCTCTCTGGAATCTTTCTGAGGTCCGGGAGCCCGTGAACCCGTGGACCTGGCTTTGCAAAGCCAGCACTGTGGCGTTCTGGCAGGTCACCTCCACCTCCACGTCCTGTCAGCTTTGCTTAGGAGACCCAGCACAAAAAGATTGGGCAATTGATAATTCAACGTCACCTGACCTCTTGATTACAATTGCCTTCCTCCTGCCACAAATGCACCCACCAGGTCGCCAAACATCGTCAGACTGTGAAGATCTGTGAAGACAGGCAGAACTATGTTTGCAAGTGGAGGCCAACGACAGTTGATACAAGCAAGTGCCGGCAAGTTTGAGAACGTCTGGGAGTCTAGGGTTATTCATCTAACATATCTGACGGCGCAAAACCCTCAACCCGAAACCCCACACCGAAAGGGGAGAAGGCGCTGTATGATTCTCGTGCCGCCTGGCCTGCCTGGAGGTCCCCTCTACCGTAATAGGCCACTCTGAAGAAATCGCAAGACTCGTAACCCTAAACCCTAAACCCCTAAACCTTAAACCCTAAACCCTTAACAGAAAACCCATAAATCTCGAACCCTAAACCCTAAGCCCTGAACCCGAACCCCCCCCAAAACTCTCAGCCTCAAACCCCCGAACACCCCCAAACCCCAAATCGTCGCCTTGGCCCACTCTCCAAGAAAGGAAAGGAGCTGCTCATCCCCGAAGAAGGAGAGGAGCTGCTCATCTTTCAAGGCCTCGCAAAGCATTTTAGTTATGGTAACTTTAGGGTTTGGGGTTTAGGGGTTTTGGGGTTTTGGGGTTTGGGGTTTTAGGGTTGTTTTAAGCTGAACTGCACTCCCTTTCCGAAGGGTTTGGGGTTGAGGGTTTTGTCTTCGCCTTCCATGCAAGCGCAATGCCCGGATGCTTTCAAAAGGGCAGGTGCGGCACCGCAACGCAGTGCTACTTGGATGTTCATGGGTAGTTATAAGTAGGGTTATATGTAGGGTAACTATACTTATAACCCTACTAGGAGACTTGTAACCCACTTATATAACTACCCATGAACCTCCAGGTAATCATACCTGAGCGCCTGGATTCAGCCCTATGACCGGTCATGCGTACATCTCCATGTACCACCCGACTCTCACACGAAGCTGGACCCAGGGAGCCCAATACCCCTTAATTAAGGAATATACCTTAAATCATTAGGGGCTTCATATTATGATTTAGGCTATATTCCTTAATTAAGGGGTTTTGGGCTCTCTGGATAGGGACCCTTCCTGGAACAGGCTACGAAGCCCCAGCTGACCGAATTTAATGCGACTCCCTGATTCCTCAACCCGAAACAGAAACTGGGTTGTGCTTTAAATCCTTTGACAAGTATTCATGAATAAGGTTCCCTTTATAGGGAAGTAAGGGAAATTACAAATTATCCCAAAGCACAACCCAGGAAACTGCCAGAGGGCCGTTGCAATGCTGTCCGCACCGGTCACGGTGGCCGCCCATGCCTCGGGCAGGGAGCCATCAGTGCAAGACTTCCCCTGCCACTGCCCACACCCAAACCCGACACCCCAAAACCCTGCAACGGCTAAACGCTAAACGCTACACCCTAAACCAAACCTACAACCTTTAACTGCAACCCTGGCGTTTAAACTGAAACCTTAAACCCAAAACCCTAAATCCTGAAACCCTATTACGGCCCAAAATCAGACCCTAAGCCCCTGAGCCCAAAATTCTGAAACCCTACGCCGTCCCTACACCCTAAAACCCTAACCGCAAAACATCCGCAAATCCCAAACTCTAAAGAAACCCTTGTAGCAGCCCTTGTAGACCCCTTAACAGAACCCCCAAACCCTCCCAAACCCTAAAAGCCCTGTACTACCCCTATAGCAACCCTTCTAGTAACCCTTGTAGGAACTCTTGTAGTAGCCCTCAAATGAACCCTAAACCCGAAACCCTGGTAACCCTTACAGTAGCCTTGTAGTAATTAACCCGTAAAGTAACCCTTGAAGGAACCCCAAACCCGAAACCCCCAAACCTAAACCCTAAACCCCTAAACCCTAAACCCGAAAGCCCCGAACCTCTAAACCCCTAAAACCCCCAAAACCCCTAAAACCCTAAGCCCCCGAACCCTAAACCCTAAACCCCGAAACCCCTAAGCCCTAAAGCCTCAAAACCCGGGCCTCGATCAAGACCTCCTGGCTCCGCTCCTCTGCTCGGACAGCCAGTTGCCAGGCTTGCTGCAGGGCCTGGCGCTTAGGAATTGGGTTTACGGTTTAAGGGTTTAAGGATTTGGGGTTTTGGGGTTAAGGGTTTGGGGTTTAAGGGGCCTGGCGCTTAGGAATTGGGGGTTTGGAGTTTAGGGGTGTAAGGTTTGGGGGCTTTGGGTTTTGGGGTTTTGGGTTTTGGCCTAGAGCGTAGGGGTTTAAGGTTTAGGGGCTTAGGGTTTTGGGGTTTAGGGTTTTGGGGTTTTGGATTTAAGGGATTTAAGGTTTTGGGTTTAAGGGTTTAGGGTTTTGGGTTTTTGTTTAATCCTGCTGTCCTTCAGCTCAATAGCCGATAGACCGGGTTTTGGGGTTTAGGGTTAGGAGTTTTCGCCTTAGGGTTAGGGGTTTAGGCGCTTAAGTTAGTCTGGACTTTGAGAAAGGTTTCGAACAGGGTTTTACAAGCATTTTGTACGTGGGGCTTAGGGTTCAGGGTTGCGGAGCTTTGGGTTTGGGGCTTAAGGTTCAATGAGATGTGTAGGGTTTACTAATTGCTACAAGTAGGATGCAGTTTTTTTAGGGGTTTGGGGGTTTTGCAGTTCAAACTCCAAGAAACCCGAGGCTCTAGAATCTAGAACCCCGAAGGTTCGTGCCTGGGTATCAGCGTCACACTTCGTGAAGTTCTGTGCTGCGGCCACAGCTGAGTCCGTTTGGTGCAGCGCTTTTGAATGCCTGGGCTTAGTAGCTTGGAATATCAGTCAGCACTTGTCACTTAGGGGCTGGGTATCTTAGCACAAAAAATGTTAACCTTTTCAATTATGATAAACCCCAAAAGGTTAAGGTTACCTACTGGGCTACTAAGTAACTCTAAACCCTAAACCCAAATCCCAAAAAGGAACTACAATGGAGACTTTAGGTACTACTAAGCTCAGACCTGGTCAAGACCTGATGCTAGAACATCCTCCTATTTGAAGCATCCCGGCGAGTAGGGATGTCCATTGCGGTTGATGCATGCCTGCTGTCTTTCGAGCATCATACGTGTAACAATCATCTTAACCCGAGTCACACTAGTACATATCAAAACAGTAAGAATTACAACAGTAACAATACTAGTAAATCAGATCAGTTCAATCAAAAAAGTAACAGTAACAACAAGGACAATACTAGTAAAGCCCTTTTCGATGCGGCTCAACCAGGCTCTCGTCTTCGAAGCAGTTGTCTTTTGGAAGTGGCCCAGGTCCTAAACCCTAAACCCTACACCCTAAACCCTAAACCGTGGTATAAACTTGTCGTGCCGATGAGGGGGCCATGGCACTACCCTGCGGCTTTAGGGTTTAGGGTTTAGAGTTTAGGGCTTAGAGTTTAGGGTTTAGGGTTCAGGGCTTAGCATGCTTTGGACAGTCGGGCTTTATACCCAGAGTGCATCGTACCTTTTCGAGGTGATTCCTCAACCCATGTCCGAATCCTAAACAGCCTACGAGGGCCTGAAACTCATACCCTCAAGCTCCGAGATGTCGAGATCCGCTTGAACGGAACCCCCTATGGGACCAGCAGAATACTGAAAGCTTACGGGGGCTCTTACACCAAGGTGCAAGGGCTTCGGAATCACTTGTATCAGATCCACATAACGCTAGGACGACGCGGCCGTGCCTCAAGAATCTAAGCCCCCCTCCCGAACTTTGATCTTACATATATGTAGATACATATATATATATATACATATATATATATATATTTATATTTATATTTATATTTATATTTATATGTATATAAGAAAATGTAATATAGATATGTGTATAATATATATAGGCCGGCCTGGGCCTGTCCCAGTGCTGACACGGTTTAGGGTTCAGGGTTTAGGCTTTCAGGACCTGAGAACAAAAGGTGCACCGGCGGTCTGAAAGCCTCAAATCAAAGAGAAAGGCAAACGGGTAGTTGTCAAAATTTTGGTCCCTCTTTGGGTACCCTAAATATTAGGTGCCGTATTACATTAAGGACCCAAGAAGGGACCCTAATTTTGACAACCACCCATACTGAGTTGTCCTTTAAGCCCTTTGAAATTATTTACTATTATGGTTCTCTACAAGATAGTAGGGGAAATCAAAAAAGATCCCAAAGGACAACCCAGTAAAGTGGCTGACGAGATGATGCCATCAACCCTTTGTAGTGCAGCTCAAGTTCGGGCATCCTACTAAGCCACGACGGTACACAGCGGATAGGGTTTAGGGTTCTTGGGTTTAGGGTTCAGGGTTTAGGAACATCTCAAGAACCATCGGCGACCACTTTCCCAAAACACTGCTGGGTAATGCAAGCTGCAGCATCACGTAGGTGCTGTGCTTCTCGTGACATCGCAGGAGGGCTTCGACCAGGTACCTCACCAGACGTGAGGTCGCTTCACTCGTCAAAACCAGAAACCCTTAGACGGCCTTGATCCGTGAGGGGCGTTGTTGATTTCGGCTCTCCGATTCTTAAGCGGAGGGGAGAAGTTGAAGATGTGTAAGCCTAAATCCCTGATGCCCTGACTGAGTCAGAAAGCTTTTCGGAGGTCCGCGTCATAGAAGCTGGGGGGTTTAGGGTTTACTTGGAGGGTCGGCGGACTTATCAACTGGTTATTTTAGGGGCTAAAAAGTACCATAACCCCAAATAGGGTCCCTTCTAGGGTACTTACAAGTCTAGTTACTACCTACTTACTAAGTCCCCCGACCCTCCAAGTAGGGGCCCAGAGCAACCTTCAGGTGTGTCGTGACATGCTGGAGCGTAGCGGCCTGGGGCTTCGGAAACCAACCGGAAGGCTTGTGGCGGTTTACAAGGCTTGCGGGGTTTAGTGGGTTCAGGTTTAGGGTTTAGGGGGCTTGGGTTTTAGGGGGTTTAGGGGGTTTTAGGGGGTTTTAGGGGTTTAGTGGGTTCAGGGTTTAGGGTTTAGGGGGCTTAGGGTAAAGGTTCCTTTAGTCATCAACACCCAAACGACCTCTCAAACCTTCGCGCCTCAAGCCATGTAAGCACCAAGGCCCCTGGTTTAGGGTTTAGGGTTTAGGGGTTTAGGGGTTTAGGGGTTTAGGGTTTAGGGTTTAGGGTTTAGGGTTTAGGGTTCAGGGTTTAGGGTTTAGGGTTCCTGATATCTGAAACGAACTGAAACCAAACCACCTGCCGACAGGCTTTGACTCACTGTAATCGTTTCATCCGCGGGCTCTCGCCCCGCAATGCTACATCCTACACAGCTGCTAGAAGGACACTGCACACGGCTCTTATAAGGATTTCTATCAGGGTTTCGGGTTTAGGGATGCTAAAAATTCCTGTCTGTAAGCCCTTCACATTGAAGCCAGGTCACGAAGGCGAAGACTCCAAACTGAGGTCGAACTTCAACATCTGAGCCTTTCTGGCCAGGAAGCGTATTACTACAAGCTCATAACGCATAAGGCAAGAAAGTTTAGGGTTTAGGGAGGGTTGGTGACATGAAGGCTCATAGACTATTGTTCAGCAAGATAAACATACTTGCACATGACCCCTTGCCATTCTTCGCACGCTTGCTACTTGCACTGAGGATGGCTGACGAGAAATGAGGGCTAAACTCCAGGTGCCGGAACGACAGGCAGCTTTATGTGCGCATCACTCTCTGAACTGTTGCGGGATGAGGTTCCCACCCAGCCTTGGACAAGAATTTAAGGAGGAAACCCGCGCCGAAAAACTCTAGCTGACATGTATGGGGGTCCCATGAGGCTGCAAACTACCAAGGTCTTGTCACAGGAATCTAGAACATTCATTTGGAACGAACCCTGAAAAGTACATATACACTGGTGCATAGAAAGAGAGACCAAGCGATCAACCCCAAAACCTAAAGTAAAGCCAGAAAGTTCAGAAAGTTGGAATATGATTATCCTAAACCCTTCTATGGTAAGTTATAGGGTATCCTACCCTGAAACCATATTCCAAGTTTCTGGCTTTTACTTTAAAGCGCAAGCCTTGATTGTGAGTTTGTGCTGCGACGCCGCGTCCTGGCCAAAGAACTCCGGGCTTGGAAGCCCAATGGTCTTGGATTAGGGTTGAGGGTTTAGGGTTTAGGGTTTAGGGTTTAGGGTTTAGGGTTTTAGGGTTTAGGGTTTAAGGTTTTAGGGTTTAGGGCTTAGGGTTGAGGGTTTAGGGTTTAGGGTTTTAGGGTTTAAGGTTTTAGGGTTTAGGGTTTTAGGGTTTAGGGTTTAGGGTTTTAGGGTTTAGGGTTTAGGGTTGAGGGTTTAGGGTTTTAGGGTTTTAGGGTTTTAGGGTTTAGGGTTTAGGATTTAGGGTTTAGGATTTTAGGGTTTAAGGTTTTAGGGTTTAGGGTTTTAGGGTTTAGGGTTTAGGGTTTTAGGGTTTAGGGTTTAGGGTTGAGGGTTTAGGGTTTTAGGGTTTTAGGGTTTTAGGGTTTAGGGTTTAGGATTTAGGATTTAGGGTTTAGGGTTGAGGGTTGAGGGTTGAGGATGCAGGGTTTTGGATGTAGGATTTAGGGTATTGGGTTTAGGCAGGATTGCAGCAGAGCCGTTTCCAAAGAAGGTCATGCTGCTTTTCTCGGGACTGCTACCAAGTTAAGTGCTCGTCGTCATCATTGACGCTTCGATGTCTGCACAGTCGTGGTGGAAGTTGTGGCGGTGCTGGTTGGCGGGAATGCGATGCTGCTCCTTAACCCTAAACCCTAAACCGTGTGGTGGTTGGTGCTTTTTGCTGCTTCTCCTCATCAGGGCCCGCTTCAGGCATCAGGCTCTGTCTAGTCTTGGGCCGGACAGGATTCAACCCTATCTCATAGCAACATCAGACCATACTTACGCCAAGAAGAAGGTTCGAACCATGCCGTTCCACGCCCTGAAGACTGTGGGATCAGGCAGGTACGCACAAAATTGATCCTAAACCCTAAACCCTAAACCCTAAACAGAGACACCGAAACCAGACCCAAAGAACCCCGAACTGACAACCGCAAGCTATGAACTCCACAACGGGCATATAATCCTCAAAGCCTACAGCCTCAAACCGTAAACCTTGGATACGGACCCCATACAATAACAGTCGACAATAGGGCTAGTTTTAAGGCCCTAGTATATCTATCATATGAATAACATCCAACTGTTACTGAGTGGGGGCAGTATCCAACGTAAACCGCAACTCTTGCAAGTCCTCCCCAAACCCCAAGCCAGGTCCAGCCTCCCGCAAGAGCCGCATCTTGTCTGCCATTGGGCCTTCGGTGGCTCCAAGCCGTAGGCGCTGCTGAAAGCTTGCCTGGCATGAGGGTTTAGGGTTCAGGGTTCAGGGTGTTTTTGCTGGGTTGAGGATCCAATCTCTGTGCAAAGAGAGCTTTTGATATCCCAAAACCATACACCATTTGGACCCTTCGGTAGTTACAGAACGTCGGGCGTCGGCAGGGGCGGTGACCAATGACTCAATCACGATGCCGCCTGGATTCTCCACATGCTGTAAGTCACCGCTGCTCATAATGCACAATAATGCACAAGAACCCTGAATAATCGCAAAGACACCCAAAGCAGCCTACAGCCCTGAATGTCGAAAACCCTAAACCTCAAACCCGCTGAGACTTGGATTGCGCAGAATATTAATACGAAGTTCACCTCCAAGCCCAAACCGGAACGTTCCCCACCCTGTCTTAAGCGAGGTTCAAGATGTAAGGTTTGGTTTAGGATTTAAGGTCTTCTTAACACCAAGCCCAAACCGGCGATTTGGAACGTCGGAACTTACGACTGAGTTGCGTGCCAGCTACCCCGAAGGGTACGGCAGACAGAACACCATGGTCTTCATAGCTCGGGCTTCTACATTAAGATGCTATAATGGCCTTGATAATTAGAATAAGCCTGTGGGCTCCTGGATATACTATGTTCTTAATAAGGAACCCCCAAAATATTGTAGGTAATCATTATAAGGTCCCTACAGTACCTGACTCAACTTGAAGACATGCCCGGGCCCGCCTGGAAGTGGTGCAGCATGCCACGGGCGGCCTCTAACCCAACAGATCACAGCGACTTGGTAGGACTTTTTTAGGGTTCCTTCAAGGGCTTCTGTGGCTTTGGGATGACGGGTAGAACTTTTTTGGGGTTCCTTTCAAGGCTTGTATGGCTTTGGGATTAGTGTTCCTTGAAGAGTTTATAGAACTGTTTTAGGGCTCCTTTGAGGGCTTATATGGCTCTGGGATGAGGGTTTTGGGGAGTGTCTGTGTTCATCTCCTGCTTAGTCGAAATTCCATTACGGTGAGCTAATGGGGTTCGGTTCTCAGCTCTGAGCCCAGTATGCATACCCTCAAGCTGTAGAGAATACAACGCAGCCTTGCTTTGCTCTGGAAAACTGACCTGCGCCGGAACACTATCCTTTCTGACGACTTCCGACAACCAGAGCAGATGAGAGTTTCCGAAAATAGGGGTACCTTATTTAGGGGTCGTTAAAATAAGGATCCCACTATTTGGGGTACTGTCATTAGGGTCCCCCATTTTCGGAAACCCCCAGATTTGTAAACTGGTCTATCATGGACTGCGTAAACCTTGTGCAAGTCTGAAGTCTCGACATGGGAGTTTCCGAAAATAGGGGACCCTAAAATAGTACCCTAAATAGTAGGATCCTTATTCTAAGGACCCCCAAAATAAGGTACCCCCAACTTTCGGAAACTCCCACATGTCCAGTTTTGCTTGGAGCCCATTCTACCCCAAACCATGAAACCTCAAACCTAAACCCTAAAACCTGGACCCCTGCGCCAGCAGAAGGCCGACGAATATCCGTTTCGAGTTGCCCAGCAGCGTTGCCACCCTCAAACGCCAAACCACCCCGTGATACGATAAGGGTTGCTGTGGGACTGTAGGAGTTGAGGGGGTTGCTATAAGGGCTACGGCCACGATCAGCGCTGCGAAAACTGTTTCCTGTGGGGAGCATATAACTCCGAGATCGCCTTCACACGCAAGGGCCAGCTCTGTTTGGAGGCGTTGACCGTCAGGGACGCTAGGCGGTTGTAGAGATTCTCTCCTGGAGCAGTGCCGGCTGTCGCTGTCTTTGACCCTTACTTGGAGGTTCATGGGTAGTTATAAGTATGGTTATAAGTAGGGTAACTATACTGATAACCCATATTCGGGAACTTATAACCCCATTTAGAAATACCCATGAACCTCCAAGTACCTCGCAGCATCAAGAGATTCTTGAAGCCCCTGAGCTCTGCAGTTAAAGCGTCGAGATTGGGCGGTGCATGCCCTTATCAAGATGTGCCCCGAAATGCACTAAACCGCCTTTAAAGAAAAACACTAGCACCCACATCTCTCAATGAGCTATGTAGGCATCGCCAAGCTTGAAGCTCAGGGGGTTCTGCATCCTTAGTCTCTGAAGTCATTTCAAGCTCTTGGATCTGGCCAACGAAAGCTTGGGGCCAGGTGTTGAGGAATGGATCAGCATGCAGAAGTTCCCTTGCTTGGGCGTCCTGTTGCTTGATGCCACTGGAGGATGTCTCGAGAAAGTCTGGGCGCCGTCGCCTCACAGAGCGTGGTACACCGAGGCACTGAGATGCACTGAGTTCCTTCCCAAACGGTGCGTCCGGGGTTCTTGCACAGAGAAATCGCAAAAAGTTGAGGTGCAAGAGCAATGGGCGGCCACTTGCTGTGCTTATTGAATGATATTGGCACGCTCATGCAGTTCTCTCCGAGTAAGATGCTGTTTGGGATCCACGGCCACAACTTGTCTTGGACAACCATGACACGGAAGCTACAACTTTTGTCTAGTGCAGTGGACTGTCGTGGCCGCAGCTGCCACCGCAGCAGTATCGAACTCTAGGCTTAGGGTCAGGAACAAACATTAAAAGGACAAACTCCCCAGGCTTAAAGACCGTAGTTCTGCAAGCAAACTCTCGAAGAAGTTGCAGCCTTCGTCAGAGCGAGATTGTCTCGATTCGGTGTTCAATAAGACCGTGATGTCGGGATTTGGATATCATGATTTCTGTTCGAACAAGGACTTGCGCCGGGATCTCGATCATGACCCGCCGATCCGCCAATGATACACCCCATCCCAAACTAGGATGCCCAGCAACCTAGGAATAAACAGGGCTCCCTTGTTGATACTGGGTACCTTTATAAGGAAGCTTGGACAACAAAAAGGGAATAAGGGTACTAACGGGCATCCTAGCAGATGAGCATAAGCCATAGCTTCGTTAGCAATGCATTCGCCTGAGCTTTCCACCAGCAGGGCGAGGCTACCAAAGGTCCCTGAAACTTGCCTGCACGTCCTTGAAGTCGATCTGCCGCAGCCCTGCAAGCAGGGCGCTGGCTTCTGGCAGCGCTTCGTCTTGACCATCGGCATCCTGGAGAGGACGACTTGGAGGTTCATGGGTAGTGACAGACGGACCCTGAACCTGAAGTGCATCTTCTCTGCTGCCGCAGCCCCGAGCAAGCGTTTCTGAGGCCTGCTTCGCCGAAGCAGCCGCGCTGTAGAGAGCCCAAAGGATGTAGCTCGTCTGGTAGTCAAGCAAGGCCTTCGGTTGGCGTATTTTAGGGTTTAGGGTTTAGGCTACAGGATCAAGAAGGGCCTTGCGACGAGCAAAACTGCCGGATCTCAAGCCACAGCAAGCAAAAAAGCTGACATTTGGGTGGTTGTCAAAATTATGGTCCTTTCTTGGGTCCCTATTATGGTACGGCACCTCTTATTTAGGGTGCCCAAAAGAGGTCCCTCATTTTAACAACTACCCATTTGTCGGACAGAGCTCCGTCCGCAATCACGAGGAAGCATCGGTAGACCCAAGAACCCGAAGCCCTCAACCCTAAACCCCCAAACCCCCAAACCCGAAGCCCTCAACCCTAAACCCTAAACCCGCAAACCCGAAGCCCTCAACCCTTAACCCTAAACCCCCAAACCCGCAAACCCGAAGCCCTCAACCCTAAACCCTAAACCCCCAAACCCCCAAGCCCCCAAACCCGAAGCCCTCAACCCTAAACCCGGAACCTCAGCCATGTGGATGACCGAGCATCACACGAGACAAGGCTTAAAGCACCCGAGGCAAGCAAAATTCTACATCCAGATCGCCTCCAGATTCTGCATCAGGATATTGTGCGAGTCCTGCTTCGGATCCCAAGGCCAATATTTTCCAGGCTCAGTTGAAAAACGGTGGATGATTATTCGGGATTGGGCACTGAGGGTTGGCCTTGATTCCTGGTAAGGAAGCTCAGAAAGAAGTAAGAATACTGGACGAACGTGCAAATTACCGTTGAAATGAGTCACAGTCTCAGAGAAGTTGTCGCTCAGCTTCGTGCAGTCTTATGGGGCCTCGCCTTTGGGTGGTTGAGCCGGGACTACATGCCGATGACAGCGCACGATGTGTGGGTGCGAGCATACTCCTAAAGAAGTGCACCCACCGCACCCGCACAGGTTATCTAAACAGACCCGAAACCCCAAACCCTAAAACTTAACCTAACCCAACTCTGAAACCCAAACCCTAAACCCCCCAAACCCTAAACAGCTACTTGGAGGTTTAAGTCCCCAAATATGGGTTTTAGGGTTTAGGGTTTAGGGTTTAGGGTTTCGGGTTTAGGGTTAAGTATAGTTACCCTACCTTTTTCCCTTATATCCCTACAAACCACCACCATGCGCTCAAGAGCCATCCTGCCTGGAGGCTCTCCAAGACTGCAGAGGTTCCAGCACGGACGGAGTCCTGTACATCTTTGGAGTGTGATGTTGTAGGGTTTGAGGTTTAAGGCTTAGGGCTTTAGGGGTTTAGGGTTTAGGGTTTAAGGTTTAGGGCTTGAGGGGTTTAGGTTTTAGGGTTTAAGGTTTAGGGCTTGAGGGGTTTAGGTTTTAGGGTTTAAGGTTTAAGGCTGCAGGGGTTTAGGGTTTAGGGTCTTGAGATCCAGGGAAGTCCTGTAGGCAAAAGAGGTCGCACATCACCTGCCAGCATGCTCGAGAGGTCAAATGAACTTGGGCACACCTCGCGTTGGACTGTGGGTCTCTGCGGCTTCAGAGCTCAAACGAGGACATTTGTACCATGGGACCCTAAACCCTAAACCCCTAAACCCTAAACAATCATAGCAGTTGAAGCGAAACTGATGTGTGAAGTTCCTCACTCCTCACAACCTGAAGTTGGGAGCTCACATCACCGGACCCACCCTCGAGGCGTTCACAAGTCACATATGTGCTGCTAAGGCGAGGATCCCCGGGAGGATCCAAAAAGTAGATCCCTTAATGGGGGTTCCCATAAAGTACCCTTAGTAGTATAGGGCCCCAAGTTAGGGGATCTGTGTAAATCTTCGCGGCGGCGGGAGGAAAAACCCAAACCTCAAGTCCAAAGTTCGAGTACGAACGGTTGCCACCTTCGACAGCCCGTATTGCCTCAGCTGCATTGTCCGACATTGTCTGGGTTGCTGTTAGGGAACTCAGTTTACGATGTAGACATGCAGGAAGGACACTGCTGAGAAAACTGTGAGATGTAAGCTTCGGGAATGCTGCTTTCTGTTCCATGCCTACAACTCAGTTAACGTTCCTGAACAGCAGGCCAATGCTTCGCTTCAAGCGCGGGTGGTGTGCGCGAGGGCTACGACAGCTCGTGGTAGAGAGGTAGCATCGGGCGACCTAAACTGTGCACCTGTGCTTTGGTGCGTATTGTGTCGACTGGCCGACAGGCTTCAATCAGAGGTCCGCCATAGTCCGCAAGCCTGTCTCGCCCTTGTTCTATGCTGTTTTAGACTTCTTTTGGCTTGTGCCATTGTGCTGCAATGTTTTGACACTCTGGGCATTTATTGCCGACAAGAGTGAGAACTACGAAGTCTGGATGTCGTCTAAACCCCTAGCGCACTATACAAATTGGATATCGATCAACAGCACCACTTTTCTGCTTTATGAGGGTTTCGCAGGGACACAATGGGAACGCTTGCGAGGAGGGATGACAGGGCCTTCCAATTTCCCTGTATGGGGGCCTGTGGGATAAACGCCAGATTGCAGGGACATGTCTCTATAACAGGGCAGCTAAACGCAAGAAGAGTAGGTCAAGCAGCGCCCTGAAACTACCACAAAGAACCCCGCGGATGGCTGGGCGATCTTCACCCATTCTAACGCCAACTGCCCATCACAGCACACCCGGCCAAGAATCGTCCGAAAACCCATTGCAATGGCATGACAACTCCGAATGATAAGTTCACTATGCCGACTCAGAGGCTTTTACTCATGCCCGGGTCGTTTCAGCCAGATTGCAAAGGCAAGCAATCTGCCCAGTCCGCATCGACAAGCTTCTTGTTGTACCTGAAATCCGATCGGAACGCAAACAACATCAATCAGCATGGGGCTCCAGTTCTACAAGGAGTCTGGAGAATCATGACCTTAGGGTATAGGGTTTAGGTTTAGGGGTTACACAATGTTTGGGACCCTCCCCAACATAAAGATCACTTTCGGAAAGGGCTTCCTAAACCCTAAACATCTAAATCCCTGAAGCCTAGAAACTAAACCTCTGAATCTCCAAAACCTAATTAAGCCCTAAAACCTCTGAATCCCTAAAACCTAAACCCTCAACCCTTCTGATAGGGTTTTCAATTCAGACCTCGAGACGAAGCGAAGTGGTCCAAGAGTCTCAACAAACTCGGGGGCAAGGCATGAAGTACCTCATACTGTTGATGGACAAAATCCTGCATTACCCTTTATAAGGAATATACAATAGTTCCCATAGTTTAGGGTCCTTAAGGTCATGCAGGATTTTTGTCCATCAACAGTAGTCTTCGTAACCCTGAAAGTATCTTGCAGCATCTTACTCAACACATGCGAACGATTCCATGAAGGTGCAAGGGATGGGCTTCAAGTGAAGAGCCTCTCCTGCTGGCCATTTTATTCAACAGTGCATCTCAGCGAAACCCAAGTGTGCAGAGATTGATATTCTGAAACATGTTCACGGGTAGGGCAAGCTTGGACACGAGCGAACTGAGCAATGTCTTCAACAACCTCCCTTCAACGACATCCTCTTGCATTGCAGGTGTGCGTAGCCCACTTTGGAGGAACAATCAGTCTGGAAATCCCTGACATTTAGCTCTTGGTGAACTTCAGATTTTCAATCTGCAATCCAAGAACATCGAAACATCTCTTTCCCGAGTGTGTAACCGGTGTTCAAGTCAGGGCCTCGTGAAAGTAGAAAGCAGGATTGGCCCGTGTTGTTGTGGATGTCCAAATTGTGCAAAGCGTAGCAACGGTAAACAGAGGAAGGAAATGAATTTTCGATTGCAGGGGCTGATTACTTGCAGGCTTGAGCCGGCTTGCTAAGGTTTTGCGAAGGGGTCAACAGCAATTGTGTTGCATGCTGCTGTGCCATGCTATGATTGGGTTCCCTGAAGAGTTCACCGTGCTGCGTATTGAATAATAGTGCTGCTGCTCCACAATTTTAACGCGTGATGGACTAGTGACTAGTAGAAGCCCGAACCCTAAACCCGTGAAGCTATGACGAATAGCCCGAGCTATCCCGGGCGTCGCAGCTGTGCCAGGAAAATGAGGGGTACCTTATCTTGGGGTCCTTACAATAAGGATCCTACTATGTAGGGCATTAAGTTAAGGTCCCCTGTTTTCGGAACCCCCAATATTTCGCAAGCATTGCGGAACTCAAGGGTTCTATGGGGATTGTGGACAAGCCTTCACTTAACTCCCCAAACCCTAAACTGAAGAAAAATTATGGACTTTATGGGGATTTTGGACAAGCCTTAACTTGACTCCCTACGTGGAGGGGCAAGGGACTTAGTAAGTAGGTTATAAGTAGGGTTATAATTGGGGTAACTCCATTTAGGGCACTTATAACTCTACTTATGACCTACTTACTAAGTCCCCTGCCCTTCCAAGTAGACCCTAAACTGAAGACCAAAAACATGCCTGGGCAAGTGAACCCAGATGTTGGGACCAGAGTGCAGGACTTGGTCATCTGTTTCCTCGTACGTGGGCAACGTCTTCGCTTTGATCTCCTGAGGGAAGCCCCAATCTCCTATAAACCGCAGAAATCCGGATCCTACGCTGAAGTCCTTCAGCATAGTGGGATTATCTTCGCTCCTGCCAATACTTATCAACGGCACCACGCCACCCCTAGTGTATTTCTGCAATTTTGTCTGCCGGGGTGAATAAGAAGGTCTGCTAGCCTGGGAGCGCAAACCCGAAACCACACACGAAATAGCTGGAATGGCAGACCCGCAGAAATTCCGCTGAAGCTACTCAATCACCTCTTGGGGTTCAGAGTTTCGGATCTGAGCCGCTCCTTAAGGCGGCTGAGCATGCTTTCGGAGCTCGAATCCGAGGACGACGACTTCCACGGCGCTTGAGCGATTTCGAAGACTTTGGCAAATGCGGCGAACCCGTCTTCGAGGTTATCCTGCGAAAACCTGGGATCGCGTGGGAGCTGCAACCCAGAGAGCCCAATACGCCTGAAGGATTATTGCTTAGATCATAAGATGAAGCCCGAAACCCTATACCCTAAACCGTCGAGAGCGCCACTGACCAGCTACATGGGCGCTCGACGCTCCGACTGAGCCCCCAACCGAATCTCAGGACCTCAAAGCCCTGACCATTGAGGGGGCTGGTATGGCCTGGGGGGTCTGGAACTCCAGGCCGTTTGAGGGGTCTCCAGGGTGTTGCGTGCCTGCTGCAATTTTGGCCGGGTTTTGGGGTGACCCAAAATTTTGGAAATGAAATTGATGAAAGCACCATTCACTGTTTCAACGGGGCCCGGTGCCGATGTCGGGTGATCCCCCTCTTTCTGCGTATCTGCTTTAAGCCATTGGGATCCTGCTGCCCAATGCTTTCGGTCGGCCGCACAAACTTCTCAGGACTTACCTTTGGTTAGTAGGGAATGGCTACTTAAAGGGATCTATAGGGCTCCTTACAGGGATCTATAGGGGTTCCTTATAATGGGATCTATAGGGGTAGTCTTACCTTTGGTTAGTAGGGAATGGAAGAACGGTAGTTATAGTTGTAGTTGTACCCCATTCCTCCGTTCCCTACTAACCAAAGGTAAGAGGAGCAGATGTTTACACTTCGAGCGACCCTCACAGGCCGCGAGACGCGAGACGCGGGTTGTTTGTTGGAAACCCTTACTTCTCGTCGAGCGGTCGGCACAGGCTGCAACTCAACCTGGTATTGGTATCAAGCCAGAATCCATCTCAGCCGAGGTCTGCTGTAAACGCAGAGAGCAAGAAAGCCGCGCGCATGCTGTACACACGCACGAAACCTCGACCCCCAAACCCTAAATCCTTATAATTCCAGGCATATTCTTCAGTTAAAGGGTATTGGGCTCTCACAGAAGCAGGAGTCCAGGCCGGTCCGCAAACTACACTGCGAGATCTCGTCGCAAAAAGGAAAAAACAGCGTTTTAGGGTTTAGGGGCTTAGGGTTTAGGGTTTCGTGTTGGGGCTTCGGGTTTAGGGTTTCGTGTTTAGTATCTCGGTAATTTATATACAGCACATTGACCCCCTCTCATCGTTTGGTGGGGAGGTGCCTTCCCACACAGCCCTGCCCTAAACCCCAAACCCTAAACCCTAAAACCCCAAACCCTAACCCTAAACCTTAAGGCAAGGCACCGGTTTTTGAAGTTGACGAGTCCATTCCAGGCCTGTTTGGATCGCGGCTCTTTCTTGTTGACTTTCTCGGCCTCTTTCTTGCCCTTGGTGAGTAGGGAATGGAGGAATGGGGTACAATTATGGCTACTATTACTACGATTCTTCCATTCCCTACTAACCAAACTAAGCTTCGATATCAGCGTCTTGCTCTGAGAACTGCTCATCCTCATCATAATCATGAAACGGGAGTTCGTCCCACCCTCCTTCTTCATCAGCGTCGACTTTCTGGATTGGATCTGCTTGCTCGCCCATTTCCTAGTTCATGGTTGGGATAGGATTAAAAAATTTCAATGTTTATTCCTTATTGGGTTTATTGGGTTTAAGTACCCATAAAAATCTAAAATGTGACCCAACTATGACAAAGTTTCGGCCACTTGCTTTTCATGCCCGGCTTGCACTTCCTCGTCGATCATGTCGTTCTTCATCTCATTGCCCACGTTCTCTTCCCCTGTTTTGCCCGAGGTCCCGTGATTTCCGATAGGGATTGCCTGGGTCGCTGATCCAGAGCCGAAACAAAACTATAATCATACAAGCCCGCAAGAAGAACTTGGTTTCATGGCTGCCTTAGCGACCCCTGGCCGCTTCTCAATGTAGTGGGCGCGGGCAAACTGAGCTCGTGCCGTCGGGTAATAAGAATGGCACATGAAGAAGCGCGAACTCCGCCCTAAACAAGCTTTGGCTCAAACTGCAGCTCCCATGACCCTGAGCCGTAAACCTTAAACTGTCCTTGCAAGCTGTTTCTGAGGTGCTCCCACGATTGCGCTGGTCAGCTCCAAAGCTAGCTGCGTGATAAGAAGCCTTCTCTCCGGCGGGTGTCTCAGGGAAGCTCAAGGTTAAAGGCTTAGCCGTTTGGAGTTTAGAGTTAGGGCTTCAGGGTGTGTTTAAGGTTTAGGGTTTAGAGTTTAGGGTTTAGGGGCTTTTTCGGGCTTCGGGCTCATACAAGTTTGGGTGTTGAGCTATGGATGGAAAGTGTTTAACGCTGAATGGCCCACATCGTGAGGAGGGCAGGGCTAGCCGGAAATCTAAGCACTCGGATGCCAGCAGCACACCTTTGAGAAACATCTACTAATAAAAGGGCCGTTATAATTAGTAATTAGAATAGGGTTTTGGGGCCATTATACTATAATCATAATAAGGAACCCCAAATTTGGTCTTGGTAGTTATTCAAGCCCCTATACTGCATCACTAAACGATGCCAGTGTCTTCAAACTTCGCACACGCCCCTTCTCACTTCAACTTGTCGTATGTCTGCTTTGGCTTCGGGAGCCGCGAGTTCTGGCTTCTCATCCGCCGAAGAGCGCACGCTGCTTCTTGGCGATGTTTTGTGCCTCCTGGTCTTGGAGGTTCATAGGTAGTCATACGTGCGGCTATAAGTTCCCCAAAAGGAGCTATAAGAAAAATTACTCTACTTACAACACCACTGTTACGTACTCATGAACCTCCAAGCAATCCTCTGGTCCCACTCCCCTGAAGCCTAAACTACCGATTCAAGCCTGAGCTGCGGATGCTTCGGGTTTAGGGTTTAGGGTTCAGGGTTTCTAAATAGCAGATTCTAGCACCCTTGAACCCTAAAAAAAGCCTTAAGCCCCGAGCGCGAAACCCAAAGCCCTGAACCTCAAACCCTGAACGCTTACCAGTCCATGTGAACTTGGGACCCTACGCTCCGAGCCCAAGCCCAACTTGAAATGTGCCCGGCGGTATCGGGCCACAATCTGATTGTTCTATACTATGTTCTATACTACACTGCTTTTTACACAATGGATTGTACAATATGTTACGCTGTGGTTAAAGGTGGCCGAGACCCTCAACCCCCAAATTCTCCTCCTGCTGCTGGACATCGGCAGTGCCCTTCATGCGGGTGCGCGCCTGCTCGCAGTCGGCCATCAAGCTTGACTTCCACACCCGAATCGACTCCCCTGATTCCTATCGCAAGCTCTCCGAAACTGCTACAGGTTCGCCATGCACTGAACCCTTCAACCATGAGACGCGAACTGTGCAGATTCAAGTCATGAACCTGCACATCAAACTCCGAGACGACCCTAGCAAAACAATCAAAGGAATCCCCACACGATTGACTTACAGAGACTTAGCCAGCCTTAGAGATCACCGCGTTCACAAGACAAGGGGTCAGTAGCTTGTATAATAGGGCTTGCTGCTTTTCAGGCTGCTTCCCAGCCTTTGACCGCATGCTGCAGCTCCAAAACGATCTCTCGGAGATGCCCTTTTCTTCGCTGCCCTGCCGGCAAAAACGACACATAGAAGGCTTCTGGGGCATCAGAAAAGCTGGCGGCGAACACGGCAGCAGACGACATGTAGTTATAAAGTCATTACCACAACATGGCATAACAAAACATCATGTAATATGAGAGAGATTTAAATCACACAGTAGAATAGAATATAATATACTGTAATGTCACGTAATGTATTGTATAATATGATACCCTATAATACATAATAGCACAGTACTGTACAGTATAGTATAGTTAAAGACATGAAAGCATACTACAATCTACTACAAAGAGAAGACTGTATTTCTGCAGCTACTCGACTCGAATGTCAGGGCAGCACCGCATGCAACGCTGGGTCCTGTTTGGTCCCGCCCCGGAAGCGCAGCGACTTCGCTTGTGTTGAGTGTGTAGGGGTCTAGGGCTTGCAATTCAGGATTTTAGGGCTTTAAACCATGGCTCATCATGCATGGACGAGTCGCATGCCAGCCTACCTAGCATGCGAGACCTGGCGAAGATGAGTTTAGCCGACCGCGACGGAAAACTTCCACAGGGAATTTGGATGCTAGGTCTGGACTTTCAAGAGATTCTGACATCCGAGCAAGAAACCCTGCACGCGCAGCCAACCAGCAATTGAATGTCGCATCCCAAGAGCGGACGCCCAAGAAATCCACCTTCCTCACTCAAAACCCTGTAAACCCTATACCTCAAACCCCAAAACCCTCAACACCCAAAATCCTGCACCCTGTACCCTCAACCCCTGCCTGCACCATCTCGGCATTGAAAGTGTGGTAACACGGGTTCGTGCGAGAGACTTTGCCCTTGAACAGCTGGGGATGCTCCAGAATCCTCGGGATGGAAGTACTATATGTTTTATATTCTGACAACATGAAACATTATACAGTTTTACAGTTATACACGATACACGATGTTTCATACATATACATTTACATACAGGATAACTGCTCATATAGGGGGCCGAACTACTTGGAATAGGCTTTGGGAGCCCATTATACTATAATCATGATAGGGAGCCCCCCAAAATAGTACCGCTATTTATTGAGGCCCCTATACTGCACTACTACACCCTTATAATATCCCTTATAGTAGCCCTTATAGACCCCTTTAAAGGAACTCTACTCTGATAATTTGGGTTACTAGGGTTCACATGGGAGTGCGAGAGTCTCCCTGGAGTCGGCGGAAGCTGAGAAGCCCAGAGAGCCCAATAGCCCTTAATTAAGGAATCGACCTTAAGTCATATTATGATTTAAGCTATGTTCCTTAATTAATTAAGGAATTTACCTTAAATCATTAGGGAATTCATATTATGATTTAAGTCATATTCCCTAATTAAGGGTTATGGAGCTCTCTAAACCCTAAACCCTGTCGATCCCTTAAAGGGGACCCTGGGCCCTTGGGATTCTTAATTAATGGGTGTTTGGGCTCTCTGGGAGGTTGGGAAACCGGCCGTCTCACCGATCTCTGACACCAGCTGCCCAAGAAAAGGGTTTAGGGTTTGGGTTTTTTTGTTGAGGGTTTGGGGTTTAGGGTTTCGGGTTTAGGGTATGGGGTTTAGGGTTTAGGGTTTCGGGTTTATCGTTTAAGGTTTCGGGTTTCGGGTCTAGGGTTTAGGATTGTGTGTGTGTGTGTTATGGCTTTTATGGACCTAGCTGCTCCGCTTTTCCTATCATGCAGCTGCAAAACACATCACACTGGAAGGGAATGTCGGCCATCCCTGCACTAAGCGCACAGCCCCAAAACTCTAAGGTCTTCATGCACCCATGGCTTGGGGCTTTCAGGCTTAGGGTTTAGGGTTAGTCAGGGACAAGACAACAGAACGCGCTGTTAGGTTCGACAACGTGCTTGATGGACTTGGTCCGATCTCTGCTTGTACACCACTCGTACGCCATCGCAGCCACCATCCCACAACGCTGATGTCTAGAACCACCCTAAACCATAATGTAGGAACCTGATTAAGAAACCTTGGGCCTTTATCAGGGTTCCTTACATGAATCCTACTGTCTTGGGGGGTTATAGGGCCCAGGGTTGCTTAATCAGGTTCCTACATTAGACCCTCTAAGGCTCTAAGGTTGCAACCCGGGTTCGGTCCATGGGCCTCTGGCAATTCTTGAAACCCTAAACCCTAAACCCTAACCCCCAAACCCTAAACCCCAAGCCCTGAAGCCTAACCCCAAAACCCCTAAACCCAAAACCCCCAAACCCCAAAACCCCCAAACCCCCAAACCCCTAAACCCCAAAACCCCCAAACCCCTAAACCCCTAAACCCCAAAACCCCCAAACCCCAAAACCCCGGGTTCCAGCAGCTTGTAATGACGTCGCCACTTCAGTTCAAGCTGAGCTCCGCGCTTGGGATTGCAGTAGTCCTTGTAGTCGGGCTCCGTGGCTGTGAATTCCTGAGGGTTGTAACGTACTGCTGATGGACAAAATCCTGCATGACCCTAAGGACTCTAAACTATGGGAACTATGGTATATTCCGCATAATGGGTAATGCAGGATTTTGTCCATCAACAGTAGGGTGTCCAAAATCACTAAAATACGCTTTCGGGACATATTATACTCGAATATGATGAGGAACCCGAAGGACCACTATTACTATTCGTCACTATTCAGGTCCCCATGGTATTTCGCAGCGGTGGGAGGCTTTGGCGACCAGGGGGTCCTGCAGCGTTGGATACGTGGGCTTCCTCGGAGAACGCTTGCTCTTGACCTCTCAAGGGAGGAAACAGCGTGTCTTTGTTGCAAGGAATTCAGCATTCCGGCTTCTAAGAGTCTTTGAGCCTTCCTTCCTCAGAAATTGAGTGCGTGATCATTATTATTATTGTTATATATATATATATGCTATATATATATATATATATGTATGTATATGTACTGAATATGTACAATTGGCAGCATCGCTTATGATTCGGATGCTGGACTTTCGGAGCTTAGAAGGCACAGCCCTTACAAACCTGGGGGCTGAACACCGGAGATCACATGATCAAGGCTACTGTAGGGGCCGCAAAAATCAAAATAGGGTTCCTTTAAAGGGTTCCTAAAGGCTACTATAAGGGTACTATAAGGGATTTAGGGATATAGGTGCCTTGATAATTAGAATAGGGTTTTGGGGGCCCATTATACTATAAGTACAATAAGCAACCCCCAAATAGTATTGGTAATTATGAAGGCCCCAATGTTCATCGACACATACCCAACAACCCGGAGCATTACAGAGATTGATGCCAAACAAGCTCACAGGTTGATAGATCTTGGGCATGCTGCCATGTTTAGAAGAAACTCAAAACGGCAGCGCGATGTTAACTGCGAGGAGCACTTTTTGGACAGTGCAGTATGTCTAACTTGGAGTAGCGGCTGACTAGCACAAATGTGCCTGTCAGGCATCGGAGCAGTGTCATCCTTGCCCACAAGGATGACAGAAAATGGAAGTGCAGTGGGCCCCAAATGGCGACAATGTATGACTTCCTCGGCAGGAGCCCATGTCCCTGAAAATTCGAACGCACTCCACCTTAAACCTAGCCTCCGGCTGCGTCTCCGATGTCAGGGAAGTGATGGACGTCGCCGAGAACGGGCCGTTGAGGATCCTTCAGACCAGTGGCTCATGCTTTTGATGCAATGCAATTGTCATTTGAAGATGTCGCTTGTGCTTATCATCAGTCTGAAGGCGTGGCATAGTTGAAAGTATACAGTCTAGAGAGGTTTCAGTAAGTCTGTAGGTGACTGCAGTAGCTGTGGCCACCATCTCCAACCACAACTAGCACAGAGGCTAATTCAGCCCCTCAGTTCTATGATTGAAAACTGAGTTAAACCAAGCAAGAAGCCCCGGAAATCGACAAATCCTTTCATTGAAACCCCCCGGACCCTGAGAACCTGTAGATGGCTAGCCCTAGTGTGTTGCAAGAAGAGCGTCTCGGTGGGCGAGAGGGCATTGCTGTGGACCGCATACACTGTCTCCGTCCCTTTGCGCAGATTCCAATCCCCACTGAACCTTGGCGATTCCAGGCTCCTACAACCGACTTGGTGTGTAATACCTGGAGCAACAACCATTGAACAGGGGCTCAAGCACCTCGCCGACAGACTAAGATTTTCGGGATGCTCTCCTGTTTCTTGATAATAGCACACCTGGCGTCCCTCGTCCCCGTCGTATACCCTCTGCCCGGGACGCGAAGAAACTTGAAAGGCTGAACGATCCTAAAAGTGCTCAGCTTTGAAAGTATAAAATGAAATCTGTCACCTGACATCAAATCCAGCCACCAAAGCAAGACCCGAATCCCAAATTAGACCGGGAGACTCTGCGACATAGAGACTTGCATACATGGAGTATCAGAGCTGTCTCAGCGACACAGAAACTAAGCCCGCAACACCTACAGTCCGTGCACCTTGCACCTTGTTTAGGGTTTTAAAGAGTGAGTAGGAGTGAGGGCTTCTAGGGCTTACTTGGAGGGGCAGGGGACTTAGTAAGTAGGTTATAAGTAGAGTCACAAGTACCCTAAATGGAGTGCAGCCCAGGAACTTGTCCCAAGACAGCGTGAAGTCAAAATCCGAGGAGGTGCCCGGCTGACCCAGAGCCCCCATCGGAGTCTTCGCGTAGAGGGGTGAGCCTGCCAGGTGGTTGGGGCCGGCCTTTTGGCTGTAGGCGCTCGGCTGTCCCTACTTGGAGGGGCAGGGGACTTAGTAAGTAGGTTATAAGTAGGGTTATAATTGAGGTAACTCCATTTAGGGCACTTATAACTCTACTTATAACCTACTTACTAAGTCCCCTGCCCTTCCAAGTCAGCCCTGGAAGCCCTCACTCCTACTCACTCTTTAAAACCCTAAACGAAACCTTACTTCCGAATCCTCCCTGAGCCTTTGAACCCCCGATACCCCGACCGGCCAGCAAGGCATCCCAGGTGGGAGTCTCCGAAAATAGGGGACCCCTACTTGGAGGGTCGGGGGACTTAGTAACTGGTTATTTTAGGGACTTATAAGTACCATAACCCCAATTAGGGTCCCCTTTAGGGTATTTATAAGTCTACTTTTTCTAACTACTTATTAAGTCACCCGACCCCCCAAGTAAGACACTCCCCTAAATAGTACGGTTGATGATATAAATCCTGCATTACCTTAGGGACCCCAAACTATGGGAACTGTGGTATCTTCCTTATTATGTGTAATGCAGGATGTTCATCATCAGCCGTAGGATCCTTGTGAAAAGGACCCCAAAATAATGTGCCCCTACTTATCGGAAACTCCAAAACCCCTACAGAGTTTTTTGAAGGAACCGTTATAGTAGCCTTGTAGTAACCCTTTAAAGGAACCGGAAACTCCGAGGTGGCCTGTCGAGCCCATTTCTGTGGGGCAGTAGTAGCCCTCAAAGCTCAGATACCTAGTTGCACTCAAACGGTTGAGGGCTTAGGGTTGAGGGCTTAGGGTTTTTTTTTAAAAAAAAAACCCTAAGCCCTAGGGTTTAGGGGTTTAGGGTTTAGGGTTCAGGCCTTAGGGTTAGCTCAGAAATTGACGGTGATCGTGTTTGACATGGGAACGTGAGAGCTGAACACTGCAATAACCATCATAGTCACTCTTTGGAGCCTAGGCTATGCGGCATTGCAAACAGAAGGTAAGAAGGCTAAGGACCGATCCTGCAGTTGAAAAAGCTGTGGGGATTAAGAGTTGTCCACACAAAATGGGAGTTTCCGAGAATAAGGGACCCTAATATAGGACCCTAAATAGTAGGATCCCTATTATGAGGGCCCCAAAGTAGGGTACCCCTAATTTTCGGAAACTCTCAAATGCTGTCCGGTACAGACGTATCTTTTGATGATCAACAACATACAACTCACACATACTCACCCGGAGGCTGCAATCCGGTATGACAAACCTTCCGCTATGAACAGGGTTTCCTTCGGGAACGTTGGATTCACCCGAAACTCCAGCCACGGCACGGTCTCGCGACCCGCCCCTGGGGCAACAACGATGCGCCCATGGGCCAAAGGAAACGACAGCAGCCCAGCTTGAACTGAGGCAGCCATTGGAGTGGAGTCTTAGGATTTCGATTTTTGTTGAGCTCCTTTTTCCATCTGCAGAGGTCTACAGGTTAGAAGACCATACGGCCAGGAGTGGGAGCTTCATTTCGAAAACTGTTTAGGGTTTAGGGATTTCAGCATCGTGGAACGTGATCTAGGGACCTTAGTCACTACAAAAAGGTTTTGGAGTGTATTGTTGTATAGCTATGTTGAGGTACGAGTATCCTAACGAAGAAAACAAGCAGTGATTCAGGCTTCTTCTATAAACTCCTCAACCTCCCACTGAAACCTTTTGGACTTGCAGGGTGGTGGCTTAAACTCAACCAGCAAACCTGTTGAACTCTCTTCTCTCCTTGCTAAACCCGAATCCACAAAAAGTAGCCGTGAGTTGCAAGTTGCCACAGGCACGTAAACTAATTGCAGGCGCATGCACTCGAGTCATACATTGAAACCGGTATACCGAGAAGTGTGGCTGACATGTCGCAGCAAGCCCCGCCTGGTTCTGACTGTAGCTGACGGCATTCACAATGTGACCCGTGGAGCAATGTGGCTTTGATGGTTGGTCACAGAAGCCAATGAGACTTGTCCTGCAAAGCTGCAGCCCGGATATTCAGGGAATTCGGAGTCTCAAGACTTCTGCGAACTCAGCAACATCTGGCGACCCTTAACTATTGCTCCCGCAAGCGGTATGCATTGGAGATAGAGATGGGCCAAATCAGCACAAGATCCCGTTTGTATCGGCATCGCGCAGACTGCCGCAGCAGTACCTTCTGAATCTGGAGCGCGAGAGGCCAGGTACAAATCCGGTCCTCCGACAGAAAACCTTGAGCTCAGTCCTCTGCTTCTGTTTAGGGTTTAGGGTTTAGACGGAAATGATCCAAGAGCTGTATAAGGTTACATTTTACTTACGTCTGGTCTTACGGCTGCAAAAAAACATCGTGTCAACGTATGGCATGGTCTCGCTCTGCACCCGAGACTTCTGGGCAGAAGCAACAGTAATTACAACGACCAACAAGTCGTTTAGCTCTCAATGAGAAGGCTCGGGATTCAGTCCTGACAGGTAATATACGGGCCTTAATATTGGAATAGGGTTTTGGGCCCAATTATACTGACTATACAACAAGGAACCCCCGAAATAGTATAGTTAATCCTTAAGGCCCCTGTAGTAGGGCTTTCGGGGTTTACCGGAAGTTTCCGGGCCTGGGGTTTAGGGTTTACGGATGCAGCCGAGCGACCAATTTTGCGGGCCTCCTGCGAGCTGGTTGCCTTTCACCTGAGGCGTTCATGTTGAGGGGTGCTCTCAGCGGCAAGGCGCTCTCACATGTTCATGGGGTCGAGCTGCTCGTGTACATCACTTCTCGCAACTGTCGGGAATGCAGAAGCTAGCACCGCCACCAGGCCTGCGCAAAACAAAAGGTGCAACTCATGAAACTTGCCCACCTAGCCACCTTGATGCCAGGCAGGTTGTACCATCCGCTGATGGCATAGCCAGAAGGACACGTCGCTGAGCCCGAGTAGGCTGACAGGACCTCCTCAGGGTATCGTGCCTGGGTGGCCTTTAAGGTTTAGTGACTACTTGGAGGTTCATGGGGAGTTATAAGAATGGTTATAAGTAGGGTAATGATACTTATAACCCATATAGGGGAGTTATAACCCCACTTGTAAGTACCCATGAACGGAGTCAACGGATTCCGCAGGGCGGCCTCCCAGAGAGCCCAATAGCCCTTAATTAAGGAATACCTTGGGCCTAGGGCTCCTTTAAGGGATGTTTAGGGTTTAGGGGAGGGGACTCCAATACCCCTTAATTAAGGAATATACCTTTAATCATCAGGGGCTTCATAATTAAGCTAGATTCCTGAATAAAGTGGTATTGGGCTCTCTGACTTTCATGGTGTAATGGCGAAACACCCGACAGGAAGCTTCTCCTGTGAGTCCGAAGCGCGGATGTCCAGGCAGTGGGGGAGCGTCTTCTCCTAGGTTTAGGGTCTGGGGTGTAGGGTTTAGGGTTTTAGGGTTGAGGGTGTAGGGGTTTAGGGCTTAGGGTTTAGGGTGTAGGGTGTAGGGTTTAGGGTTTAGGGTGTAGGGTGTAGGGGAAAGGGTGTAGGGTTTAGGGTGTAGGGTGTTGGGTTTAGGCTTTAGGGTGTAGCCCACGTGGAACCGGCAAAAGTTTAGATACAGAAAAGATTCCAAGAAAACCACGTGCTTAGACCTGGGATCACGCAGACTACACAGGCCACACCTCAATCCCAGGAATATAGGGTCCTTGATAAAGAAATTGGGGCTTGGTGAAAAAACTAGAAGACAATTGGCCCGAAAGCATCATTAGCGAAGAGTTTAGCGCTACGTTATAGAATCCAGTGCATAGAATTATAGAGTCATAGCGCGAAGTGCATCTTATTATGAAGTATATGGCAATGCCGAGATCGATATTTTTGAATCTATGAACTTGACTCTACGTGTTTCACTCTGCGTTCCTCAGTCGATGTTGTCAAAGCTGTCGAAGCAGTGTATAAACTTAAGTATATGAAGTCAACTGCATACGGCGAAGTGCATAGAGTCAAGTGCATAAGTCAGGTGAATAAGTATCTAGAGTCATGGTGTCAAGTTGTTTCAGTGCAGCCAGATCCGGTGGTCGGTGATCGCACTATAGTGCTGCGGTATCCTTGGTCGGAGCTGATCCAGCAGGGAAGACGGTAGAGATTCGATCGAAGCAGGTAAAGAACAGTCCTCAGTATGGTAAGATGATGCAACATGTTCATCCCTTCGAGCAAAGCATGCGGGTCATACATGTGCAATGAGAAAGCCTCTGCAATCGACGTAGAGATTCCGAGCCTGAATAAGTCACCGAGCAGGCACCGGCGACGCCTCATTGCAATACAAACTGACTCACGCAAGCAGTGACCAACGGCGGCGATTCCCCATGAAGCATCCTGCTCGGCAATGCGCCGCGATAGACTTAGAGCTTCCAACAACTCCGCTTGGGAAAATTTGCGCCCGGCTGACTTCTGCTGCGCATCCGCCAGCGACAGCGAGCCCACACAACTGATCGCGAGTCCGCTTCCCGAGCTCGTCGCGGAGCCAGGCTTCGCCGTGCTCGGCGCAGCCCGCTCGCAGCTCCTGCAGCTTTTGCTCCGACGCAGCAACAGCACCGACCTGACAGCAAAGACTTCACGTGAAAGCACGAAACATCTAACCTGGCCACGACACTGACGCCTCACTGCAAGACAAATTGACACAGACAATGATCAACGACATCGATTCCCCATGAAGCCTCCTCCTCGACAATGCACTGTGATAGAGCTTATACCAATTCCAGCTTGGATAGAGTGCGCCAGGACGAGCCCTCTCGCAGGCCATTCAGCTGCTATGGCAGCAACACCATGTGTCCACCCCGGCCCTTTCGCAAGACAGCGTCTAGTCAGGCAAAGAACCGTCTTAAGTATGGTGAGATGCTGCAACGTATTTTCCCTTCCGAGCACAGCGAGGCAGGTAAAGAACAGTCCTCAGTATGGTAAGATACTGCAAGATATTTCTCCTTTCGAGCAAAGCATGCGGGCCATACATGTGCAATGAGAAAGCCTCTATAATCGACGTAGAGATTCCGTGCCTGAATAAGTAAGTCATCGAGCAGGCACCGGCGACGCCTCATTGCAATGCAAACTGACTCACGCAGGCAGTGATCAACGACAGCGATTCCCCTTGAAGCGTCCTGCTCGGCAATGCGCCGCGATACTCTGCTGCGCATCCGCAGCGACAGCGAGCCCACGCAACTGATCGCGAGTCCGCTTCCCGAGCTCGGCGCGGAGCCAGGCTTCGCCGTGCTCGGCACAGCCTTCTCGCAGCTCCTGCAGCTTTTGCTCCGACGCAGCAACAGCATCGACCTGACAGCAAAAAGTTCACGTGAAAGCACGAAACGCACGGAGCCAAGTTTCACCGTGCTCGCCAAACCCTCTCGCAGACCATTCAGCTGCTGTGGCGGCAACGCCATGGTACTATGTACTCCTACTACTACTACTATTATTATTATTACCATCTACTATTACTATTACTACTATTACTACTATTACTACTAGTACTACTATTACTACTATGACTACTATTATATTACTATTATTACTACTATTGCTCCTAACTCCTATTACTACTATTACTACTATTACTACTATTACTACTATTACTACTATTACTACTATTACTGCTGTTACAGCAAAAGTGTTGACTTTACCTCGCGTTCGAACACTCGACAACGCCAATCTCTGTGAAGGGTTGCGAATTTCATTTCAATGCACATCAAAAGTAATAACTTTACCTCGCGTTCGTGCGTTCGACCACGCCAATCCCTGTGAAGGGTTGCAAAATTCATTTCAATGCACATCAAAAGTAGCAACTTTACCTAGCGTTCGTGCATTCGACCATGCCAATCCCTGTGAAGGGTTGCAAAATGCCAATCCCTGTGAAGGGTTGCAAATTGCACCTCAATGCACCTAAAAGCGCTTCAAAGTAGCAACTTTGCCTCGCGTTCGCGCACTCGATCATGCCAATCCCTGTGAAGGGTTGCAAGTTCGTGCACTCGACCACGCCAATCCCTGTGAAGGGTTGCAAATTGCGCCTCGAAGCGCATCAAAAGTAGTAACTTTACCTCGCGTTTGGGCGGTCGACCATGCCAATCCCTGTGAAGGGTTGCGCGGCGCGCCTATTAAGTTAAAAAAATGTGTAACTTTACCTCGCGTTTGAACGCCCGAGGAAGCGAATCCCCGTGAAGGGTTGCGCGGCGCCCGAAAAATGTGTAACTTTACCTCGCGTTTGAACGCCCGAGGAGGCGAATCCCTGTGAAGGGTTCACGGCGCGCGAAACATGTGTAACTTTACCTAGCGTTTGGGCGCTCGACCAAGCCAATCCCTGTGAAGGGTTGCGCGGGCACCGCAAAATGTGTAACTTTACCTCGCGTTTGGGCGCTCGAGGTGGCCAATCCCTGTGAAGGGTTGCGCGGCGCCCGAAAAATGTGTAACTTTACCTCGCGTTTGAACGCCCGAGGAGGCGAATCCCTGTGAAGGGTTCACGGCGCGCGAAACATGTGTAACTTTACCTAGCGTTTGGGCGCTCGAGGTGGCCAATCCCTGTGAAGGGTTCACCCGCGCGCCTAAAATGTGTAACTTTACCTAGCGTTTGGGCGCTCGAGGTGGCCAATCCCTGTGAAGGGTTGCATTCCCGATGGACGACGACGGTGCCACCCCTGGCTTTAGAAGAAAGATTAGATACCGAGATGTAGAGAGTATGTAGAGAGGTAGAGAGTAAGTCAGAGAGTAAGTCAGAGAGTAATAGAGAGGTAGAAAGTAAGTCAGAGAGTAAGTCAGAGAGTAAGTCACAGAGTGAGTCACAGAGTAAGTCAAGAGTAAGTCACAGAGTAAGTCACAGAGTAAGTCACAGAGTCATAGAGTAGTCAAGTGAGTAAGTCACAGAGTTCTCAAGTTCATAGAGTCATAGAGTCATAGAGTAGTCAAGAGTAGTCAAGTTCGGTCTTAAAGTCGTCAAGAGTAAGTCACAGAGTAAGTCACAGAGTAAGTCACAGAGTCATAGAGTAGTCAAGTGAGTAAGTCACAGAGTTCTCAAGTTCATAGAGTCATAGAGTCATAGAGTAGTCAAGAGTAGTCAAGTTCGGTCTTAAAGTCATAGAGTCATAGAGTCATAGGGTCATAGAGTCGTAGACTCAAGTGTCAAGTCATAAGGTCATGTGCTCGATTCTATGTTTGTCATCTATGTACTTGTCTACCCGGCTCCGCACGGAAGAACCCTTCGCGACGCTTTCGGGAACTGATAGTGATAATTGGGAACCCAAAGGAAGAACATTGGGGATTTTGTCTCCCAGTTCCTCCGAGACCACCACAGCTCCGGGCGGGCAGGTGACGCCCCAAAAAGCCTCAGAACAAGCATTAGGACGTCAAAACCCTAAACTTAACTCAAGTTTGGGTGACGGTAACTGCGGCTATTGCAGTGCTTTAGGGGCGTTGAAAAGCAGACTTCTCGAAGGGATACGGGGTTGAAGGCGTCTGCCAACACTAGCGCCATCCAACAGAAATGTGGCCCTTACATGAAACCCTCAGTGCTGACTCCAACTCACCGAAAGCACAGAACAACAAGCGCCGTCCAATAAGCGCAAGGCACTTAGCCGACTTAGCCATGGTCCTGAACATGCTCCCCAAGTTGGGGCAAAGTACCGTGACAAACTCGTCGACGCTCACAGCGGCCGCACCCGAAACCCAAAGCCGAAAGCCGGATGTGGTGGCATGAGCATTTAAGAGATTTAGGCGGCAGCATTCTAGCACCCAGAGAGCCCAATACCCCTTAATTAAGGAATATGGCTCAAATCATAATATGAAGCCCCTAATGATTCAAGGTATATTCCTTAATTAAGGGGAAGAGGGCTCTCTGGGCAGTTGTGTATCTGAGCTCCCAGCATCCCCGCTGGCTGCGACGCTGAGGTACCCCATGGACTGAGCCCTGTGCCCAATTGTTGATGATATAAACCCTAGGGTTCCTGTAAAGGGAGCGATAAGGATACCTTTAAGGGGCTCCTTTAAGGGATCTATAGGGTTTAGGGTTTAGGGTTGATATAAATCCTGCATCACCCATGATAAGGAATATACCGTAATTCCCATAGGTTAGGGTCCTTAAAGTATTGCAGGATTTCTATCATCAACCGAAGCAGTAGGTCCCAGAGAGCTTAAGGGTTCCTTTAAGGGATCTATAGGGCCTGGCGTTCCTTTCAGGAATGCCTAGGGTCTAGGGTTCCTGTAAGGGATCTATAAGGTTTAGGGTTCAGGGTTTAAGGGGCTTCCCAGAGAGCCCAATATGCCTGAATTAAGGAGGATACCTAGGGCCTAGGGTCCCTCTAAGGGATCGATAGGGTTTAGGGTTTAGGGGGCTCCGATACCCCTTAATTAAGGAATATAACTTAAATCATATTCTGAAGCCCCTTATATTTCAAGGTATAATCCTTAATTAAAGGGTATCGGGCTCTCTGGGGTTAGGGGGGCTCTATGAACATGTCAGAACGCCTGCGACCCTTTCCAAAGAGATTGAGAAAGCTCTGTGACCATACACTGTCGGTGGCGATGATGTCTTGACACTAACTGTCACCAATTTCTATTCTATACCTGGTTGTATTGTATTATATTCGGTGATCTCCGTTGTACTCCGCGGCCTCTCACCACTGGAGCCCTTGTAGAAGAAGGGCCAGCTCCGAGCGTCCCCAAAAGGAAGCGTCTTGTAGGGCGCGTTGCGCAGGATCGCTGCAAGGACCTTCCAGGTACCCAGAGACTCCAATATCCCTAAATTAAGGAATATACCTAGGGCCTAGGGTCCCTTTAAGGGATCCGTAGAGTTTAGGGTTTAGGGGGCTCCGATATCCCTTAATTAAGGAATATACCTTAAATTATAATAGGATCCCTAATATGATTTAAGGAATATTCCTTAATTAGGGGGTATTGGAGTCTCTGGGTAGCAATCTCCACAAAGCATCGATGCTGATAGTATCTGGTGCTAACCGTGATCAGATCTTCATGGAGGATAGTGTAGTTTTAGTATAATACTGTATCATTTGTAGCGTACCATACCGTATAATATAGCATAATGTTGTATACAAAAGTCTCATAAAGTATAATAATTTTACGTTTACGGTGTAGGGTTTACCGCAAGGTTTCTTTGCTCTCCACTTTGAGCCGGAAGGAAGCCTTCAGCGTCATCCCGTTTGCATTCGTGAGCTTGGCCACAGATGGGCTCACGGACATCGAGCTGTTCATCAGAACTGGGCAGACTTTCTCGATCCTGGCATCTGCATGTCCGAAACTTTCAAAAACCCTAAACCCCTAAACCCCTAAACCCCTAAACCCTAAACCCCTAAACCCTAAACCCTATTCAACCTGCGTTTTCCAATCCATCTTTATGGCCTCGCACATAGCTGGCATTCTGCTCTAAAGCCTGAAGCCCTGTTGATGTAACTCCAACACTCGAAAGGACGAGGTAGGAACCTGCGCCTCAAGATACTCCCCAACCCTGAATACCCCTGAATACCGGAAGTGTTGAAGCGCGGACTGGGTTAAGCGTCAAATGAAGTTCATGTGGGTTTAGGGTTCAGGGTCGAGGGGTTTAGGGGTAAGGGGTTAGCTTGTATTGCACCACACTGGGAATTTCAGCAAATCTCGATCACCGAACCGGCCCTAGACCCCAAGCCCTAAAACGCCAACCTTCTCTTCGCAGTTTGTTCGGCCTTCATATCTTTCTAGCGTTCATTGCTCTAGAATTACACGGCGAGGCCTTTACAACAAGGCCCCGAGCTCAACCAAGCATCATCAAGGTCGTAGCGGCTGTGTAGATCTTTGACAAGTCCTGGGGACAATCGAAGTCAAAACAGATTTGAGAACTGGATGGGGAATCGGAACCCAACCTCTTCCGCATATGTGTCCCTTAAAGCTTGGGTTCTGAAGCGGCACCACGCATTCAGAGTATGCTTTGAACGTGATATGCTACACCTTTGACATAACAAGGAACCCTGCGGAATGCTATTACTGAACTTTGGGTTTAGGGTTTAGGGTTTGTTACATAGGGTTGAGGGCTTCGGGGTAACGTATGGGATTGAAAAAACTAGAGTATGGTCTCGTACATTTTTTCTTTTCGTATACTCAGGAACCTTAAGGATTCTATATTATAGGAACTGACTCATACTGTTGATGATATACATCCTGCATGACCCATAATAAGGAATATACCGTAATTCCCATAGGTTAGGGTCCTTAAAGTACTGCAGGATTTCTATCATCAACCGTAGCACTTTTTCAACTTTCTGGCGTCTACTTTAGACTTACACCTGATGCAGACCGGCCCCGACAGAACCAGCCCTGAACCCCAAACCCAAAACCCTTAGACTCTAAATCCTGAATCCTGAACCCTGAACCCGAAGCCCGCACCCTGAAGTCTTTGGTGTACCTTCCTGTGGGCTCACGGATGCCCATTGGGAGCAGGAGCTGCCTTGTGAGCTGCTTTGGTCAGACTCCGCAGCCTGGCAAGCGAAGAGCACCTTCGTCCCATCGCCTTGGACAAGGGTGTGAGGTTCAGGCCCTTACTCCAAGGGTAAAAGGAGGGACCCTTGATAAGGACCCCTAGGTATATACCCTCAATATAGCTAGTATATACCCATTATATAGCCGATTATGGGGTAGGGGTCCCCATTAAGGGTCCCTCCTTTTCCCCTTTGACTTACATCCTAAACCCTACTAGACCCTAACCCTGAACCTAAACCCTAAATCGTTCACGGTAGGATAGACCCCGTGAGCATCATACACAGGCAGACGACGAAGATCTACAGAATCCACGTGAATGTGGCCAATGAGCTCTGTCGTCTCTCTCTCTCTCTCTCTCTCTCTCTCTCTCTCTATATATATATATATATATATATCTCTCTCTCTCTCTCTCTTTCTCCCACACACAAGCCACGCTTGTGTTCAAATTGTTTGTACACTCCCAAGTTGCCATGTGTCTTCACCACCTCATAGTGATCCACATACTGGTAGGCCTGCCTGGCGGAAAGCCACATGATTTGGAGTTGGCGTAGGGGGTGAAGGTTTCACCTTCTTGAATACCTGGGTTGTTTGGGCGATGTAGCATGATACTGAGCGCAGAGCTAGGAACACATAATGACTGTACTGGGCTTGCACGGGATACGGTACTCGAACGACGTGCAGACACATCGCTTGCATGAGCCGTAGGGCCGTAGGGCTTCGCCAGGTTGTTTCGTTGCAACCTTCACGATTCCAACACTTCGCTCAAGCTAGTCTACAGGAGACCCTCGCTATCGAGCTTTACATCTTACGTCCCAACTTTCTCTTCACCAAGCCTTGCCGGCGTTGCCTGATGCACCTCTCTAGCAGAGCCTCACGGAGCCGCACCTGTAACCCCGGCTTCCTTGCGCCAGAATCTACAAGCCAAATGATCGAGGCATAGCAGCTTGAAGGTTTTGGGTGGACTGTAGGGTTAGGGTTAGGGTTTAGGGTTTACTGTAGGGTTGAGTGTTTAGGACTTAGGGTCTGGGTTTCGGGTTTAGCCGCACCTGAAAATTCATCGAAAACAAGCGTCTGACATGGACATACTCTGAAGCCGTTTTTCAGGACTGGCTCTCGCAGAGCCTCTGCTGAGCATCGAGTTTCGCGAAATCCCAAATCTCCAGAGCGAGATCAGTACCATTGATTGCCGACGCGCTGTCCTGGAGCGTCAAGGAAGCCTGCCACTTGCTCAAGTAACGATGCAAACACAGAAACACACGGACATGCCGCAAACGTGCACACTCACAGCAAGCAAAAACAGTACTGCATGTATACAGCTCACCCCTAAACCCTAAACCCCTAAACCCCTAAACCCTAAACCCGAAACCCCTAAACCCTAAACCCTAAACCCCTAAACCCTAAACGCAATACTTGGTTACGGGCATGCAAAGAAACCTCAAAGCTCCACGCTCTTCCTGAGCCAGGGTTTTGGGTTTCTTGGAGGTTCATGGGCAGTTACAAGTGGAGTCATAAGTCCCCTAATATGGGTTATAAGTATAGTTACCCTACTTATACGAACCTCCAAGTAGGCCTTAAACCCTATACCCTTATAGAACCCCTATAGATCCCTTTAAAGGGACCCTAAACCCCTATACCCTTATAGAAACCCTATAGATCCCTTTAAAAAGACCCTTAAAGGAACCCTTACAACTACCCCTGAACCTCCAAGTAGGAGGGCTAAAGGCCTCAGGTTGAGGGCCTAGGCTCAGGCTTTATGGCTTAGGACTTAGTTTACTTGGAGGGGCAGGGGACTTAGTAAGGGCTCTTAAAGGGCTCCTTAAAGGGATCTATAGGGTTCCTTAAAGGGAACTATATGGGGTTTAGGGTTTAGGGTCTGCTTGGAGGGGCAGGGGACTTAGTAAGTAGGTTATAAGTAGGGTTATAATTGGGGTAACTCCATTTAGGGCACTTATAACTCTACTTATAACCTACTTACTAAGTCCCCTGCCCTTCCAAGTAGGGCTCAAGGCTTCGTTTAGGGTTTCATGTCCGTGGAAACATGAAGAGCTTTCGTAGAAGTTTAGGAGGATCTAGGGTTTAGGGTTCAGGGTGTGAAATACTTATAAAGTGGTTGTATATAGAGTATCATTGGCTAAAGTTTCATTTCATAATATTGTTTTACCTAGGATCACAGGACACATTGCGAACTCACGGTACTTGCCTGAAAATCTTCTGACTCCCGCGATCACACTCTATAGGGATGCTTTCGCGAATACATACTTGGAAGGGCAGGGGTCTTAGTAAGTAGGTTATAAGTAGAGTTATAAGTGCCCTAAATGGAGCTACCCCAATTATAACCCTACTTATAACCTACTTACTAAGTCCCCTGCCCTTCCAAGTTAACGGAGCTGGCCGCCTGCCTCGCAGTTGCTGACATTGACGAAATTCTCGTAGTCTGCCAAGCTGACAAAGTCATCGTCTGCGTCATGGCTCTGCACAAGCGCCTAGGAAGCAAGAGAGCCCAGTACCCTTGATTAAGGAACATAGCCCAAACCATGATATGAAGCCCCTTATCATATCGGTACATTCCTCAATTAAGGGGTATTGGACTCTCTGGGTTTGGGTATGCGGATAACTAGAAGCTCGCTTCAAGGGCAGGGTCCGGGACTGCGAAGGTTCAAAGATGTGTCGCCAATCATGATCGTTCAAGGTCCTTCAAGCTTATGCATGCAAAGTTTTGAATCCGAGACGACATGTCTCGTGCTTCGGCGCTGTTCAGGAAGGTCAGTTTTTCAAGTGCGACACGACAGAACGCCTGCAACACGTGCTGAAGGCCTTTTCGCCTGGTTGGGCAGGGCCTAATTGCTCTTCTGGGCCGACATGCCTTCTGTTTGTAAGGCTTCGGGGCCTCTGTCGGGGCAATGATGTTTGGTATTCATATGAGTAGTTCTCTAGATGAGGGTCCCTTTTAGTTTTTGAGTCCTTTCACAAGGCTGCCGTACTATTTTGGGGAAGCCGAGAAAAGGGACCCTAATTTACATACAGACCTACCCATGTTCTTAGCCTGCTTCATGCCACCGCTGTTGCGGCGACGACTTCTGCTCCCGGATCCCCAAACCTCACAGTCTGAACCATATAGCCGCCTTAGAAGATTAGAACAGCCTGAATAGCCTGTTGGGCTATGTTATAGTACATGTGTTTTTGGACCCTAAGGAATAACATTCTGAGGCAGTATGATAGACCCTTCGCACATTCTGCGCAATGGAAGGAAACTGCTACGCATGCAGGGCTTTATCTTGGTATCGCCGATGTGCCTGCGTGTCTTTGCGATTCTGCGTTCGGCTGGATGAGGCAGAAGGGTCCTGCTTGTACATGTACATTAGTGGAACCATGTCAGCAAGCAAATCGGCGGCCTTAGAAGCGAATCCCCACTGCTGGAAGACGTCGTCCGCATCGCAGGTCCTGCCACCCAAAACACTGCAGATCAACGGAAGGTCTGGGGGACTGGGGGTGCAATCGGGACTTACACCCGTCCGAGAAACATCCATAAACCTGTAGTCAAGACCCCTGGACAAATTGGCAATAGTCATTTATCGAGTGTCCCGGTCGTCAAAGGCTGCGTGCTCGAGTCCACGGTAGTCAAAGTCCGTCCCATGCACTTCACAGCCGAATATCTTGCATAACCCTTCTTCCAATACACTCCGCCCAAGAAGTGATCACAGAAGGTATATGGCATATCATACACATCGTTGGTCCATGTTACA